CTTTTGTAGTATTTGTATTGACTATGATGATGAGCCATTCTCTGACTTAGACTTTCACAAGTGCTTCCAACATAACATTTGTTATAACCTATATCTGTAATTTTATAGACTTTACCGTTTTCATATCGGCTCATATCTCTATATAACTTATATTATCTTTTCTTTAAGATAGTTTGTAATGTCCATACGGCAATGAATTAATACTGTCTATGTAATAGCGCTTATTTTCATATGCAGAGAGACTTTGCTTTGTTTGAGTTATGCTATATATTTGATGTGCTTTACTTCTTATGCTGTTAAATGTTACTGTATCACAACTATTATTTTTGAGTGTGTCATCATAACTATGATAACTCAACTCGGATTTCACCTTATGCTTAACTATTCCCTTGCTCTTCTTCTCTTCTTTTGATTCATTATGAATTTTGAAACAGTATGATTTCGGTTTCAATGCTATAAAGTTTGTTATAATCTTGCCGTCGGCTTCATCCTTAAAGCAACCAAGTTTCTTCTTGTTTGTTTTATCATAACATTTGTGTTTAGGGTCATAACCACTGAAATCCATATAATCCTTAATGTCATTAAAGTCATCATATACATCTTCGGTTTTAATATGTAATACAAAACTGTCAGTATCAGTATATAACATTCTGATATTATTTTTATATTTCGGTTTCATAATGTCATAGTAAAATGAATACATATGTTGTTTTGATAAATCTAAAATACTCATTCCTACATATATTGGTTTATTCAATTTAACTACACTTTTTGCTTTTTCAACTCCTATAAGATTTTCATTGATGATATGCCTGTATTTGAAATTAGGATTATTAACGCATTTTTGGTATCGTTCAGGTGTATCAACCAGCTCAAAGTCAATGTGTTCTCTCACATTTTCCATAGTCTTGCCGTATACAGCGTTGTTCATTAATTTGTACATATCTTTTGAAAAGTCGCTTGTAGCGTCCTTTCGTTTCTCTGTGTTAAAGTCAATCCACGGTTTCAACCATTGCTTGTGTCTAAATTCTATTACTCTGTTTATTTTCTTGATTTTAAGTCCTTGTTTCAAATAGAATTTTAAAATGTCAATATGTAAAACATAGTTTTGTTTATCCATAACATTTAGTATCAACTTGTTTGTTTTCTCATCTTTTGGAGCATGATTAAAATGATATGCTTTGTAGGTTTCTTTCTGATAATCACTAAGCATATCTGCTGATACACTCATAATTTCTGGTGCTAATGGGTAATCAGTATGTTTGTCGTGGCATTCTTTCGGATATTCTAAATCAACATCTAAAATATATCCTTTGCTACTGTAATCACTATTGTAATATTTAATGTCTTCTTCTGAGAAATTATCTTTTACAAATCTTATTTTCTTGTATGGTAGTTTCTTACACATTGCCAGACCATAAAGATTATTAGCATCTAAATAATTGATGTAGGACGACGGCTTTGTTTCATCATAAGCATCTCCCATATACTTATTATTAGCAGTTGCTTTTCTCATTGAAACCTGACACATACCACCTCTTAGTCCTTGCTCTATCATTTTATAAACTTCTTCATCGTGTAAAAGTTCAAGTTCAATTCCTGTTTTTAATAGCATCGCGTCCCAAGCAAAGTTAGGCAATGTGTAATAATGAGCTGGGTCTAATTCATAATCTGTTAGACATTGTTTTCTGAAATTCTCATATACATCTGTTAATAATAACACATCGGTTTCTAGATATAAATCATGATATTCACCAAGGTTTTTGATGTCAAAGTGCTTCCATATTAGTTTTGCTCTTTCATAGTCAGCATTGCTTATATCTTCTTCACTTAATCTACTATAAAAATGTTTCTTTTCTGGTAGTTCAGTGTCATTAAATTTATTGAAGTCATTACAATAATCATAAGGATAAACTCCCTTTTCTGTCAGTAAAAATAAATCTTTTTCATTTTTAATGTATTTGCCTTTGACACTATATTTAAAATGTTCCTGCCAGTTGTCCCTTAATTTATTATCTTCATATTTTGTTAATTTAACAAGTTTATCTAATGATGATGACAAGAAACTGAAACTATCCTTAAATTCAAGTCTGTTTAATGAAAATGTAATAAACTTCTCACTGTTATGTGCTATTACTGATATTTGTTCTTTCTTTGTATTTAACTTTTCAAGATTAGAAATTATTAGGTGAGCATCATAGTTTTTAAGATTGTGAAAGAATACTGGTATATGATATTTTTTAAAACAATAGTCTATATTGCATTTCATATGTGCCGCTCCTCTGTATAATCCAGTAAAGTGGCAATGGTCGCGAACTTTACTTCTGGAAGAAGTAAAGGAAGCTTCGCGAGCCTCTGGCGAGGTGTCAGCAACTTTCTTTTTCGCTTCTACTCTGTTGTCAAAAGTGCCATTGCATAAGAAACACTTTTTAGCTTCTAAATGTTTAATTTCATCTAAATCTGACATAATCATATCTTTTGGATTTTTCATTTGTTTCATTACATCGTCTCTAATATTGTTTAATGTATCACAAAATTTATCCATACAATCTTGACCTCTATATAAAAATGGTTTCATTTCTCCACTATAAGCATTAACAAGGTTAAGCATATAACCGCTGGGTTTATGGTTCTGATAAGTCCCTTTGATGCCTTCTGATGTTTCTGTTGTTAAACATTCAAAATCACCGTAAATAACAAATGGTGCTTTCAGTTTCTTAAAATGCTTTTCAAACTTCATTGATGTTCCTTCTTCTGGCATTTTTGTTTGTTGAATGTCATTTGCCATACAACCTTTTATTAAGTGAGAATTTAAAAGTTTTTCTGACTTGAAACCGTGCTGACAAAAACTACAAAAAAACATTTTATTAGTTGTTTTGTTTGTTTGTCTTCCTGCTAATCTACTAAAATCTTTTATTAAAACATAGTGTTCGCAAAGCTTGTGAGCCTCTGGTGAAGCATCGTTGTTGTTTTGTTCAATTCGTAACAAATTAATATGACAAGATGGTCTTTCAATTTTTGTTATTCTGTCTGCTCTGATGGTTTGGTTCTCATCTTCAACATAAACATTAACTGATATAGATTTGTTATTGATTTCTTCAAAATGGTCTATGTCATCGTTGGATGCTGGAAAATTTACACCATCCCATTGAATTAGACTTTCAGTAGTTATTAATTTCTTGTAGTGTCTCATATGTTGTGGATGGTCTTTCTTGAAGACTTCATAAAATTTACATAAAACGCAGTATTTAAAACATAATTCATCATCATTTTGAATGTTGATACATGCTTTTTTCTTTGAAATCCATTCTGGTAGTTCCATATATTTACCTGCTCTGTTCGGGTTGTATTTGTCGTAGTGGATGGTGATTTTGTTAATCTTATTAATCTTCAATCCTGAATGTTTCAAAGGTGAGTTTTCAATTTGTAGTTCAATATCTTTAGGCATATTTTCCAATGCTTTTTTCAAGTCTCCTACATTCAAAATGTTGTATCTCCTACTCCTCATATCGTGTTTTATTTGTATATTTTCCTCAGTTGGTTCGTCTTCTCCATCATCATCATCTTGCTGGTTAACTTTATCAAACAGAACCTCAACATCAATCAGTAGTTTCATTGACTTTGCTTGTTGTAAAAACTCTGTTAGTTTCTTTTCTTGCCATAAAAGATATGTTAATCCTTTGTATCCCTTGAATGGTATGTTGGATATTGAATATGTGTTGGCGTACCCTTCCAATGCTGAAAATGTCTCTGATGTTTTTGCTCCTATTTTTAATCTGTATTTCTGGATTGTTTTAATGCCTCTCATTGTGTTTGATGCTTTTTTTAGAAGATGAAATCGTTTGAAACCTTGTGTGTTGCTGACTTGATTGAGTTTGTTTTGAAGTGATGTGGATAATGGTTTGTCTTTGTTGTAATAGTATTCTTTGTTGTTGATGATTAGTTTTTTCAATGGTTTGTTATTCTTCCCTGTTTTTATTTGACCTTCATTATTGGATAATAGATATTCAATTACTGAACCCGTGCTGTATTCCCCTGCCATTTCTCTATACTATATATGGTATTTTCTCTTTAAGTATATTTGGGGGGCGGGTTGCTGGTGGGTCTGGGATTGAGGTTATGTGTGTTGTTGATGGGACTTTCAGATACGCCGCTTTGGTGTATACAGTACACCGCTTTGGTGTATACAGTACACCGCTGTGGTGTATACAGTACACTGCTGTGGTGCTTTCAGGGCACCGCTGTGGTGCTTTCAGGGCACCGCTGTGGTGCTTTCAGGGCACCGCTGTGGTGCTTTCAGGGCACCGCTGTGGTGCTTTCAGGGCACCGCTGTGGTGCTTTCACTACTTTAACACCTAAACAGCGAACCATAACATAAATAACCACGCTATGGACAATCTCAACCCTCATATCCCCAGAAAGCCTTAAAATTGTCTGAAACCCGAACCTTGAAAATGTTGAAATCTTAGACTGTTTCATAATGAAAAAATTGTAAAAAAATGTTGAGAAAATTTAGGAAAATTCCCCACAATCAACCTTTAGGTTTTGGACAAAATGGTATGCTTGCTTAATTTCATCCCTGCCCCTGAAACTGAAAGCTGAAAATTCCCTACCTCAGAATCAATCTTTTAACCATTTTTGGGGGAACTCCTCAAGTACACAATCCCATCCATCCGCATGATTCAGAGAATTGATCAGGAGGGGGTGTGTCCCGTAGCAGAGATTCTCCACTTTCGGGGAAACACCCCTTGTGGTCCGACTGACTTAACAACTCAGGATCGACACCATGCCTACCCCCTCCAACAATGGAAGCTGACACTGGTGTGGAAAGCTTCCTTTTTGGGTTCACCTCTCTGTCCAACTCCATTAAAAAGACCCTCCGATCCACTTGGAACCTCACATTTTGGGCGGGGGGCATGTTTGGACGAGGTTCCTCACCGAAACCCCTGGTCAGTTCCACGTCAGACCAGACCTAAAGACTCTTCTCTCGGCGCCCCTGCGCCACCGGGCAGCGGGGCCACGTTGATCGCCTGCGCGGAATAAATTTGCCCGCCGCCGGGCTCCGAAAAAGGAGAAAAGAAAATAACTCCGCCGGGTTGTCCTTCTTCTTCCTTTTCGTCGGTCGACCATGTCAAGCAAAGGCAAGGTCAGGAACCATCAAAAGGAATCCGCCCTTGGTCAAAAGGCAGCCCCTTTTTTGGGTTCACTGGTGGCAATGTTGACCCCAAATAAATCAACTGCAGCCAGCCTTGACCTTGCCGTCACCCATCTGTTGGATCTGGCACTTCACGGCTCTTCCTCGAAGCGAATCCGCCCCAGCTAGGGCTGGAAATCATCCTGCTGTTTGGTTTACAACACGGGGGTGGCTCGCTCTTTTTTCGGCAATTTGAAGTTGACAGACACCCAGATGGGATTCTGTCAGTCGGCTTTTGCGGCATGAGCCGGGAATTTGGCATTGTGTTTTCTACATGTCTGTGGCACAAAACGAATAATTGCATTTATACACCTTTTGCGTCGCGTTCGCTTGGTTGCTAAAAGAACAAGCATACATAATGTTAGCTTCGGATAAATCTTAACCTGACTCCAATTGGTACTGCATTCATAAACACATGTTTATCGCATCTCGATGTGGGTGTCTCTTTCGAGGGTACCCCTTGTTGGTCTGTGTTCAAGGAAAAACGCAAGGCAAACCACCAATTTGGGAAGGGTCCAACCTTTAAAAAGACACACCAATGTCAGAGTAAGCACGAAGAAACCGCCGCCGCGCTGCGATTCAGAAACGCGGGAGTCCAAGCCCGCCATCGGATGCTCGCCGGAGACATGCGTGCGCGTTTCGCAGATTTGCCAGCGGACGGGAATTAACTGAAACAAGATGGGGTGGGCATGCATGCATAATGAAGGATGTTTTTTACAAGGGTCCCCTAATTTCTGGTTTGGGAAGATGGTAGTTTGCCCAGATACGTGTCAATGTTGACCACGGATTCTATTAGCCCTTCCAAATGGGGAGCGGGGGTCTTGACAAGACCCGTCCAGAAGCGGGCGGAAACTCCCATCTCTCAAAAGATGTTTGCTCCAAAAGTAATGGACCCCTAAGAAAGGGACACCCGATCTCTCACAATCAAGCAGGGCTTCTACTTAGATGTGGGGTCAACATCTTTCCAACCCTTCGTGCGGCCTTGCAAAAAAAAAGAGAGCTCGGCTTTTTACAGCCCCCCGCCAAAAAAAAAATAGGCACCAACAGGACCAAAAAGACCAAAAAAAACCTCCAAGTTCACATGGAACCCTTCTCCACTTCAGCCTTCCAAGTTCTCATTTGAATATTTACCACCAAGATCTGCACCAGAAGCTGTTTCGCTCAGGCAAAAGCGCCAACAGCTGCTTAACCAACCCCCACGACGCCGCGACGTCCACTTCGATCCGGGCTCAACATGAGGCGACCGGAGCGGTGGCGCTGGCGCTGAGGTCCCGCGCCCACCATGGCAGCGCCCAGGGCGGCCAGCTCCGGCGCCAGGTCGGCGGCTGGCGAGGTTCGACGGAGCTGGGGGGGTGGAGGGGGTGGGTTGGAGGGGGTGGAGGGGGGTGGGGGAGATGGGGGGTGGAGGGGGTGGGGGAGATGGAGGGTGGAGGGGGGGGGTGGGGGAGATGGGGGGTGGACGGGGGGGGTGGGGGGGAGGTGCCCAAGACTCCTGCAATAGACTTGGTTGGAGAAATCGCTTGCGTGTTCTTGTGTTTGCATTCCTTGCAAGTGGGGTGGGAGTCCAAAGCAAGCGCTTGATTTGGGAATTGGCGAGGCCTCCGTTTTTCGGGGAGGCCGCCTCGGGAATGTGATGGCGCAAAACGTGGCTTTGAATCAGTGGCTCCCAGTGGATGCGCTCGCATTTGAAGCAAGTAAACCAACAACACCCACAAAAACCGGAGGCAAATTACAGTAAACCCTGCAATATTGAGGGCATCGTCAACCCGCAGCTGGTCAATTCGTTGACCAACTGATTGTAGTATTGCCACAGCCGCTCAAGGCTGGATTGGAAACGCCATACCTCGACATGGGTATGTTGATATATTTTGAATGTGCGTTTTGTTGGAAGACCCTCCTTGGTCTCTAGGGAATCGAAAGGAAACCAACAATTATGGGGTGCTGCACTGCCAAGGTTCTGGCTCACCAATCGAGGCTGGAATTAGGACTGCAAAAAATAGCTTTGTTGCCTGGTTGGTGGAAAACCAAGGGGACCCCAAAAAAGCAAAAACATAGAAGGGGGAGCTAATTCTGGGGAAGCAATTGCAATTGACGCTTGCCCAAACGAGAACGCCCCACGAAGCATTCATCACAACCCTTGGAGGACCCCCAATGCCCACACCCGAGACCTGGTCCCACCACAACTGGCGTGTTTGGGACCCCTTGAAGGCAAACTTGTGGTGAGTCCCACAATTTAAGTGCGCAACTCCTCTCGGGTCCATTCACCCCCCAAGAAAAAAAGACTCGTAAGGTGATATGGGAATGATGATTCTCCTGCAAATACCAACAAACATTGCTTCTTTACCATGGATTCAAAGTGGTGCGAAGTAGATTTCGTCCACAGTATGGCTACGGCTCAAAAAAAAATCGGGCAACCCATTTGGGGGGCGATTCCTATGCTTGGTCTGCCCTCTGTCCGCCTAAAACGGGGAAGGAGTTTCTCTCGAAAATGGGATCGCCGCTCAAAAGCCACCGTCCCCTGACAAAAATGGAGGAGGATACTTCCAGTAGCAATAGATGCCCTTTGAAAACCAGAGAAAACTACAGAAAAGTCTTAATCAAATGGAAGTCAACTGAGTCTTGAAAAAAAAAACTTGAGTAAAAAAAAACAAAAAAAAAAAACAAAAAACAAAAAAAAAAAAAACAACACAAAAACATCCCGGCCTTGGAACCGGGCGTCCCGCTCGCCGTCCCTGTGGAAATGCGGGATCCGACCCGTTGTGGCTTCGATCGGATCGCGGATTTGGCACTTGGGTGTTCGTTGCCTAAGCTAGTAAGTTGTTGGCAACCTAGGTGATAGCGTACTTGGAAGTCCCCCTCAAGTGGAGTAGCCCTGATATTGTATGACCCAGGCGGGTAACCACTTGCTAAGTTGGCCGAACATCCAAGTAGCAACTCTTCTTGAGGGACGTTGAATTCTGTTTCCTTTCCAAGCAACTGGATTAATTCATGCTCCAGTGTTGAGGGTCGCCAAAAGCGAAAAACAAAGAAGCAATAACCAGGACACATGCCTATGTAGAGGGGGCATACATAGAAAATGCAGCTTGGCGTCGGAGCCTAAACTGAGCCGGTGACGCAAAGACGAGACAGAAGGCGGTCACGGGGGGAAGTTGTCAGCAGGGACATTTGATCTTCCTGGAGTCAGACATGAGAGGATAGCCCATTGCCGCGAACTTCCGACTGCATCCGATTCGCTCCGATTTCTGCGGGCAGTTTGCACAACCCTGAGGTCTTTAGAAGACCAGGACCTGGGCAGACGGCCAATTGCCAGCCGGTCTGCGGCGTGCACCGCTCCCAATGCGACAACATTTCGTTTACGCCTCGACAAGCCAGCGGAATGGAGGCGAGGTGAAACCCGGCCGCCGAAAGTTCAGCTGAAGATCAAGGCGATGGGAAACATACCGTGCCGTCTCATTGAAAAGGCAGCAAGGAAGCCAAGTCAACAGACCAGCGGGCATTTTGCCAGAGCAAATGAGGAGGGCAGGAGGCAACCAAAATAGCGCAAGACGAGGGATGGGGCACGGTCACGCAAGGGGGGCCAGGATAGACAGACCAATCAAGGAAGAATGAGGATCAAGGACCAGGAGCAAACCGAAGCAAAGATTCCGTTTATCACATCCAGTGGAGCTCCCACAGAAATGGACCAACGGGACTATAGGGAAGCCAGCCCAGAGCTACGACAAGCCTCTGTCGGCCTCCGTACCATGAGGGTCTGAACTGTGCACAAAATGTGCGACAAAGATTGAACCAAGCAAATCAAGCTCAGCGCGACATGCACTAACTGCGTGCAATGACTGTCTGAAAACCCTGGTTGCAACAAAACCAAACCAAACATCGGCTGACAAGGAGCATGTCCTGCAGTAAAGATTGCGGACTGCACTTGAATGGCCTCCATCAGCAAGAGTTGACTACTGTACTGAAGATGCACATTTGGCAGCGCCAAAAACTCTTATGAAAAGGAGTGAATAGAGGGCCTCTCCGAACGAAGCCTCGCGAAAGCTAAAACGCAGGGCGCGAAAGCCCGTGGAAGCTTGCGGCCAAAGTGGTTGAAGAAGAGCCTTTCCGCGAAAGCATCGCGAAGGTGCCCGCAAAAGTGAAACGAGTGGCCGTGAAAGCATCGCGAAAGGTGCCGCGAAAGGTTCCGCGACAGTTGTTTGCTAGAAGAGGGTTTTATGTACCTTATTTTCGGCACTGCTCATGAGGATGTATTTGTCCATGAAGCTTGTGTTGAAGCGCACACTCATATTTGGCGCTACCCCCAGTTAGCGACAAATCCATGTCTGCGTTACGCGAAGCGATGTGCTTGCTGACGGTGAGCCTTTTGCCGGACGCAAAAACAGCCGCAAAGACCTCCAGTGTCCGTGGGCGCCCCTAAGGCGTTTCTTCAAGGGACGGGTTAGCGAGGCGGAAGAAAAGGCGCGCATGGCTGCCTGTCCCCCCTGTTGGTTTTGGGTGTTGCTGTTAATGGTTTTCGGGCTGCTCGTGGTTCTGGTTTTGGTTTGGCTGGTGCGGCGGGAGCCGCGGATCGCACAGCTGGGTGACGGGCCCAATATAAATATTCCGATGCTGTCCAGGTGAAAAAACAGCATTTGGGCATGACCTCCCCGGAGGCCGGGCATCCACAAACGGGTCCACGATTTTGAGAAACTCATACATGACAAAGAAAAAAACTTTGTGCCCATCTCTGTGGTGAGCTGAAGTCCCACGGAAAAAATGAGAAAATATGTCCAGTAGTGATAGGTTCCCTTCAAAAACAGGGGGGGGGGAAACACTTCGGGAAGAATGGAGAATGGGTGACTCTTGGGCAAGCTTCAATTGGCAACGTGAGCCACATGCTGGACCCTTTTCCCAGACCAAACCAACCCGCTGCTTCCCTTCCCTTGTGGGGACGGGCATAATCTTGCACCAGCGGATGAAGCCCGCAAAACACTGGGCCACTCTCACCGGGTGGCTATGGGTATATGTCAACACCCCAAAATGGCAACGGTTCCCCCTTTCATCTTCCTTTCAACCCCCACCCCCCCCAGCCCCAACAAAAAAGTGCCCTCCCAAAAAAACGGACCAAGATATGGCACCCCCCCCTCCCCAGAAAACAAAGAAGAAGAAACACCTCGCACCCCAACCCTACTCGATCCGAAGCGCGCACTCCGAAAATTCGAGCCGGGGCGCTCCAGCGTGAGGAAGCCAAAGCCGTGGCCTTGGGTTTCACCGTTGGAACACATGCAGGCGGGTGGGTCCTGTTTTTTGAGGGCGCCCTGTTGTGGGGATCCTTGGTTTTTTTCCACCCAAATACCACAGCTCCCTGACTGCGCCAAACAACGCTCGAGTCTGTTTCACACCAAAAAGGGACCTCCGACCCGTTTCTGAGGGGTCCCCTCAAAGAGAAAGACACCGGTTGCGGGACCCCGCCTTTTTTTGGAGACACGGCCACATGGGTGTGCCTTAAACTCCGCAGAAGAATAGGAATCGGACCCGAAACTGTCCGGATCTCCCCTTGGTTCCCCAATGCTAAAGCAACCCAAGCAAGGGTACCCTTGAGACAGACCCAAATGCCGCCCTTTTCCGAGGCTTTTCCTAGCACAGTTTCACCCAGCAGAGTTGCCTCTCCCGTTGGAGATCATTTTTCTGGACATGGCAACCGGGCCTCAAAACATTGAGACCCCTTTTATGCCCAAAAGGGCAACGACTTCCTGGGCTGAGAGCGTTGCAACCGTTTCAATTCCGGCCCCTCGGAGGGCAGGAAGGTCAGGTGCTCCAGTGACTCCAGTGCTCCAGGGGCAAGCATACTGTGGATGGACGAAATCCTCTTAGGCACCACCCAAGAAGCCCTGGAATGATTCGATTCCCCTGTGAATACCAACAAAAAATGGTTTCCCATGGTTTCAAAGTGGTGAAAACTTTGTCCATCCACAGTAGGGCAGTGGATGATACCCCCCCCCCTTTGTTGCAAAAGCTGGTGGTTGAAACACACGTGGACCCAACTTGAAATGGACCCAGACTCCATGGGGAAAAAATGGGCTTCCAGGGAATCCCCTTGTTCCAGGATTGGAGCCGAACCACATGTGGATGGTGAGTGCTTTCCTTTTGTTCTTGGATACCATCCCTCACCCAGCGGGTCCCTTCAAGAGGAAGTTGATCTTCCAGGTAATCTGCAGGTGCCATCTTAGCTCCCTCTTTGATAGCAAACTTGCATATCCCCGGCTCCGCAACGGCTCCCTTCCACCCACCCTCTAGACACAACTCTCCGACCCCAACGACCTCGTTTGTCTCCGGACGACTCGTCTCGGACGATTCGAACTTCGTGTAAATAGCCATTGAGGGTCAGATTTACACACCCCCGAAGATCGAATTCCACAGCTTCCATGGTTGGAGGGAGGGTACCCTAAAGGACTGCAGAAGAGGGGCTTGAGAGCATCGAACTTTGCCCAGCAAAGGCACTCACTTCGATCGGCGCCAAGGGGCGCTCGTTGAAACTCTTCACCGCGCCCACGGCCTTCTTCCCCCCGCCGGCGCGCTCAACCAGCTCCTCGCGTGAGCGAGCGAGCCAGCGAGGTCATGTGCGCGCGACCGAAGCCCAAACCGAAATGACCTAAGGCCGGGCCGGGAGGGGGAGTTTGGACACCTGGTTTGGTTTTGCATTCTAAGTTTCTATGGCATGGCGGGGGGGGGGGGGGGGGGGGAACTACTTGAAAGGGCGATCGTTTACTTAGTAAGCAGTTAATAAGCCTGGTTATAACCCACCGAACGGAGACTTAAACTGGTTATTACACACTTAACTTACTAGGTACCCTGCCCCTTTAAGTAGTCGGATGTGGACTAATTTGGCGGTCCAAAGCATACCAAATCTACAAGCCAACAAGGGGGCGATGGGTGCTGTTCAAAGTTGGGGCGATCTTCGGTCCCAGAACATGAAAAACAAACAAGGTGTTGAAATCTGGTATTTGTGGAATTGTTCAATGGCCCAGATGCATAGGGGCCCTGTGCCACGAGTGGTCTTTGTAGTCAACCAAGTTAGGTTTTTAGTGCTTCTTGGGTATCCCTAGCAAAATTCACATTCGGGTTCCCTTTGGCTTCCCTATCAAAGCACCCCCACGACAGAAAACTCACCGAAATTGAGTAGGCCTGATGCCCGTTTAAGGGTTGGTCTGAAGGGAAAACCAAAAGGAAAGCCACCATTTGGGGGGGAGCCTTAAGTTTTGCCGCATGCCTTTTGAGGGCAAAAGTCATCCCATGTTGTCCGTTAAAATTTACCACCTGGATTGCCAGTTGCTGCTTTTTGCCATGCACTTTGCCTTTACCCCAAAAACCAGCAACAGTGACTGAAAAAAGCAGCAACTTGTCTATCTAGGCAGAGTTTTGTGGCTTTTCGTGTGGTTGGGCTTTGCTCGCATTTTGACCAGAGCATCCATCGTATAATAAGTCAGAGCGGAACATGGAAAAAGGGCCTGCGAAAAGCTGGGCGTGGACGACGCAAGAAGTGAGCTTTGTGAAGATTGCGACTGCCCCTACCCCCAAAGGCGGCACATCATATCATATACGGGGGGAGCCGAAAACTGAAAAGGAGACCGCTGCCAGAATTTGGGGCTTCCAAAAAACTTCCGAGACACGTGAGCTCATCTTTCCGGAAGAATTCAACAGGAAGACGTCCAAATGGATGTGGGTCAAACTCCGGAACCACAAATGGAACCCTGCTAAATGGAAAGAAGGACTAAAACCTGCGGTCCCCTGGTGGTTCAAGTTTGACCCATACCCAAATGGCAACGGGTTCCACCCGTTTCCCCCGATTCATGCGGGCGGTCCATGCTGCAGAGCTGCACCTCGCGAGAGCCAAGGAGACGCCGATCCAACCGCTGGAAGAGGCGGGGGTCATAGAATGCCCCTTTTGCTTGATTTGGCTGTGGGTCGAACCCTGTACCCCTGGTGAACATCAAAATAGGTGGCGAATGGATGTTCATCCACCCCGAAATGGAGCCATAGGTTCTGGCCCTTGTTTCATTTGGATTAGTGGCCCTCCAGTTGCTTCTTCGCCCCCTGGAACAAATGAGAAAATATATGTCCAGTAGTGAAAAAAAGAACACCAGGGGAACGTAAAAAAGTGTTCTTAAGCAAATGGAAGTCGTTCGGAGGCAAGGGCTGGGGTCAAGGCTAACTGAGATACCGTCAGGGCCGAAATCATTTGAATGATGTTGTGGGGTGCTTGAAACCGAAGTCATGATAGGGGGAAAACATGTATACCAGGTGCTGTTGTTGTCCATGCACTTTGCCCCAAAAACCAGCAACAGTGACTTAAAAAAGCTGCAACTTGGCTATCCAGGTAGTTACCTTAATGGTCGTCACATCATTTGGATGTTCGGCGGCTACTCAGCATGTGGTGAGTGACCCTGGTTGTAACTCGTTTCCTCTTGGGCTAGCACCAGGCTTGCTAACCACTTACCTAAGTAGCCTGCCTCTTCAAGCGGGTGTGTGTCAAAGTAGACGGCCCCAACGTGTTTTTTGGTCTTCCTCTTGGCTTCCGTAAAGAAATCCCAACGAAAAGCCGACCGAGCCTCAAAAGAGGCTAAAGATTCATAGGCCGGTGAGGGCCCGTTTGGACAAAGCTATCCTAGTTTTGGCAGATATCCATCATTCAACTCGAAGAACCTCCCCTCAATTGCTCTGCGTCACATCTTGCCATTTTCTTGTTGCCTGTCTGGCTCTGGCACGGCCAGTTGCTGAGCCCCCATATCCGGGACTCAAACTCCAATGTTGACTTGGGTTACCAGCTGGGCCCGCTGAGCAGGATCCTCAAACAATCCCAATAAAATCGCTGTGGCAACATGTCAACGGGAAGGCTCGAGAAGCTCAGCATCCAATACGGACGGCCCGAACAAAAGCATCACGCAAAGAGACTCAGCTCTGATTCTGCTAATTCTGCTGGGACTTGGGGGCCGAAAACTCGGCCCTGCAGCTGGAAAAAACCCACCCTTCCAAACCAAAAAAAAACGGAAAACCCCAATTTTTCGCGGGGTAGGACCCAGGAACCGGCCGGAGCCGGTCGCCCGCCATTTTGCTGGCCACGTGCCCCATGCCCCGTGCCCATCTCCCAAATCACCCGAGGGCTGCGCGTTGGCGGCTCGATCCCTGCCATCCTCGCAAGCATGGCCAGGGCTCAACCAACAAATGGCCAAAAGCGGATCCGAGCTGCCAAAATGGGGTGTGTCTTTTTGAAGGGGCCCCCAAAATGATGGTTGACGTGAAGAGCCCACCGCACACAGGTTCCGGATTTCGGGTTCTTGTCCGGCGCATGGGCAACTCTGACAAATTTCCCATGCGAACTAGAAAACCCGTTTAATTTCCCATGGCCTCACTATAGCCCCTGAGGGAACAGAACCTGCGGGTGCTCCTTGAGTCACAGACCTCTTTGTGGGATTTTGGGCATTGAGGGAACCTGGAATTCTGAGTTCCAGTTTCCCGCTGAGTGCGAAAGGATGTCTCAAAAATCCCTTCTCAGTACGGCATGTTTGTTCCCGTGACTCAACAAGCATCAGCACACGTCCATGTTTCTGGAAGGCAAATATCTAGCTATGAGTCCCAAACCTGAAAAAAAGTCCTACCCTTTACAAATGCCCTAACTACCATGTCCCCGACCAGAACTTCTGGCAGCTCCGAATGGCTCTTGAAAAGCATGTTTTTTAATGGCTCCGGTCCAATCATCAGCTATCTGAAACAGGCGGGTGTTGGGTGTTGGGTGCACCTGGCGAAGCCCCCTGTCAACCCAAAGCCTTGCCCACCGTGATCTCGAACTGCACGGGCTTACCCTTGAGGTCCTTGTGCGAATCCTCGGGGTCCCGAAAGAGAGCCCAAGCTGGCTGCTCTTTAAGCGGGCTGTCCGTTTTCAGATCCCCGCTGCAAGTGTGTGTTAAATGCACTCCACCAACTAAAAAGTTGAGCTAAGGGGATTGCTGGGGAAAGCTGAGCTAAGAACAAAACAAAAGAGAGTTCTTTCCTTTTGCTTGCTTCCCTGGCCCCCGGTTTGCACGAGCCGCAGGTGTGCCAAAACACCCAGATCAGCCCTTGCCAACCCCAATGAACCCCCGAAGAAACCCCAATACCAGCCCTAAGCTTAGCCTACCCGAGCGACCGCCTGCGACCAACCGAGAACCAAACGCGAACCCGAAAAACCGTGACTTGCTTTGTCCCCCGAACTGATTGTTTGTTTCCTCAAAAGCACCATCCAAAGGAGGTGCCTTGCCTTTCTTGCTTTTGGCGTCCCGTTAGCTTCCCTCAAAACAGCCGTCCCACCAACAGAACCTTCCAATCTACCTCCCCTCCCCAATTCTCGATATCCCACGTACATGAAACGTCACACTGCTCTGCCGACCTGAGCATTTCGTCTTCACCGCCTGAGACTTGCCAGTTGCTCAACCTCCGCCCCCAAGAAACACAAAAAAACAAGCCTAAAACCCACAGAAACTCCTGAAAGAGTTGGTTTTGTTCTTCTAAAGCAAAACCCCTCAGCAGCTGCTTATGTCTGCTTGCAGAAAGGGCAAGCTGTGCTTCGGGAAAGAAACGACTCGCACATTTGTGCGCTCGAAGCTCTCAGGTTCACTTCGCCAGGAGCACCTGCTAGGACCAAGCTACCAATCTTCGACCCATGCGGAATGTGGAGACCCGATCCGCATCCGCATCCAACGATGACCACTTCTCCGGAGGCGGTTCTTTCCACGTTTTGCCAAAGGGTCCATTGGGGTCCTGGAGGGTAGCAGGGGTCCTTGAAGGTGGCACTTCGAGGGTTTCTCCAAAATTCTAGTGGTTGATTCAAATCCATTCTATTCAACCATCGTTCTTTTCAAAAGTGGGTTTCCGGAGCCCTGGAAAGAATGGGCAAGGTACCCTGGAACTTCGGCAGGAAGATTCCCAAGGGTTGATCTCACTGTCATGATCAAAACCGATCGGTACAAAAAGTGGTTACTCAAAGCCGTGTCAGGAGCCATGAAGGCGGCGGCACCTATTTATGGTTGGGAGTGTCCCATACTAACCTTCATCTGCCCGAATCGGTTTTGAGCACGTGGGTCATCTTTTTTGGGACATGATCATGACCTTCCGTTTAGGTCGTCATCTCCAAAACCGCGGCAGAACAGGCCTTGGCTATCGCAAAAACTTCCGCGGAAACTACGCCTCCCCACCTCCAGCTGTTTCGGACGCCGAAAATCTCAGCACTTTGAACCAGGGCTGTGGGAAACGGAACCCACTTCTGTGATACAAGAAAAAAGGGCACAAACCTGCCACATAAAGAGGATAATCCCTTGTATCACAGGAGTGGGGAAAAAACCCTGGATCCCACAAGCCTGAACTTTGAACCCTCCGAGTCCGTCTCAGGCAAGTTTGGATACCCAGCTCCCTTGCTCCGGCTGGGCGCAAGAACCCGCGATGGTTGAGCCCGGAGGAATCAACCCCCCGTTTATGAAAATATGTGGGTGGCCCCTTGTGGACGAAACCCACTTCGCACCACCTCAGAAGCCCTGGAATGAACCGATTCCCCTTGAGAATAAAACGTTCTGGTTTGAACCATGGTTTCCAAGTGGTGCGAAATGGACTTCGTCCATCCACGTATGAATAATGTTCACCCAGGACCAGGATTAATAACCCGTCCCATTATTAGGGGGGTGTTCCCTCCAAAAGTGGTCTGAATCCCCACTAAAAGGGGACACCCCTCAACAAAATCAACCAGCGGTTTATTCATCCGCGGTTAACATTATGGCCTATGGTCATGGTTCCCTTGATAGGAATCATTAAAACGGTGATCAAGGATCCTTACTGCCAGGATCTTCCAGGTGGATGACCATTCCAAGTGGTGCGAAACGGTTTTTGCCACCATCCACGTATGAATCTGGGTGAGTTATTCTATTTCACCGGCCTGTAGTACGGTGGTTGCGGGGCTATTCCCCACATAAAACTACCACTTCCCGTGTGAATTCGGTCGTTGTAATTCGCCCAGATAGCTGTTGCTCAAAAACCGGCACCAAAATGGGTTGCCCTGGTCAGTGGAAACATGGGTCTCAAAATCTGCGGCTTGCCCCTGTTTATTTGTTTTGCGCCACACCCTGCTGAGTAAACCGTTTCTTCGCTCCGGGCTCGTTTAAACCGTCAGCAGCTCTGAGCCCGCGGCGGACTCCAGGTCCAGGGGCAACTCGCTCTTCGAGAAGAAAACGTCACCTCGGCCGCGGCCGGCCGCGGCGAGACGACCAAAACGACCTTCCCAAAGACTACCCTTTCCCCAGGGTTTTGGGTGGTTTTCTAGAAGGATTCGGATCCCTGGAAAGAATGGGGACTCTGTTTCAAGACTACCCTCCCAGCAACATGGCCATGGGTCAAAATCCCATGGAGCCCCCCAGTGAACATCCCAATCCAACCACTAAAATAGGTTCTGAAATGGGTGGTGCACCTACCCCAAAATGGGATCCCATGGGTTTTGGACCCACAGCCATGGAAGTGCAAAAAGGCGCTTTCCAGGGGCAAGGTGGTCTTTCTACAGGGGTCTGTGCACTTCCATGTTAGCTGGTGGGAGGGTAGCCCCCCAAAGGCGGAGATTTCCTTGTATCACAGAAGCGGGGATAAACCTCGAGTGATCCCACCACCCTACACCTGAGCGACAGTAAAACATATGTCAACAGTAAAATCATATGTTAACGGTTTACTTAAATCGTAGACCAGGTTCCTAACTTAAACCCGAGGTCAACACCCACGGCCTGCATCAGGTGCCTGTCAGCCCCTCCCGTATTCAAGTAAAACGCCGTGCTGTGCGTCACAAAAAGCAATCGGCTCTTGTTGATCTAGGTCTTCCAGTAGAGAGGTTGGAACAAGGGTACGCTTTTTTTGTAGTCTATTTTAGTAGGGGAACCCTCCCCAAAAAAAGAATCGGTACAAGGGCACTACTGGGGGACCTAGTGATGCTCTTTTCCTGGTTGGAAGTTACGGGAAGACCTCCGCCTTCTCTCACATTGCGGGATCATCAGTTCCGATTCTTTACACGCGAGGCGGGAGGACTTGGGTAACAATAACGCACCACCGAGGACAGGGCTTAGCGATTCAACCCTTTCACCCACCCTTTGAACAACATCCTTTTGGCGCACCTTTAAAGGCGCTGGACCAACGTTTCAAACCACTCTGGATTGAACAGCATCCTTTTCTTCCTCGTTTCCTCTTCAAAGGGCCCCAGGTTGTCTTCCATTTGCTTAAGCCCACTGGAAAAAATAGAAATATGCCCAGTAGTGATAGATTCCCCTTAAAACCAACAAGGAAAAATGAACAAAACATATTCCGAAACGCAAAAATCGAAGTCCTCAAAGGGCCCCAGGTCAGCTTGTTCCAACTCTTTCCCCCAAAACCTGGGTTGTTTTCTGCTCCCCTGCTAGAAGTGACTAACTCTTAGTGGTTTAATACGGAAAACCCATTGGTTGGCAAAAAGTTAAAGTCCCAACATCCCTTGGCAAAATGCACCCAAGAAACCTCCCCACTTCATCACTCCAGCCATAGGTGGCCTTTTGGAAAAATAGATGGGTTTCCCCGGCAAATGGAATGAATAAACCAGCCATCTAAACCAGGGAAACCCCTCTATTTTTCAACCAAACTAACCTGAAAAGGACACCTATGATACCTATGCGCCAAATCGAAACCAAGAAGGACCCCAACCAAGAAGGACCCCAACCAAGAAGGACACCAAGGGCAAATGGCTTGGCTTTCTATGTTTTAAATGCGAACCAACCCAAAGAGGACACCTCTGACTCCGAGGATTTCTCCTTCCTTCGGCCCCGAGGCCCCGGGCCCCCGTTCTCGGAGGTGGCGCACTCGATGAAGCCGAAGCCCTTCTCCGCCAAGAAAGTCTTCACCTCGCCGGGGGAAGCGGGAAAAACGGAAAAAATCGGGTCACCTCAGAGGGAGCCGAAGAAATATGGGCAAGATGACTCAGAAGGGCTAGGAATAGTTTTTAAATGGTATTTTGTTTTGGCCATGTTTCTTGCTTTACGTTTCTTGTTGCCCAACATGGGCAAAGCATTTCTGATTCAGAAAGAATAGGAATAATAAGGCCTTTTGTTTAGACCCCCTATTTCGCATCCAGTTTACAGAGAGAGAGAGAGAGAGAGAGAGAGAGAGAGAGAGAGAGAGAGAGAGAGAGAGAGAAAGAGAGAGAGAGAGAGAGAGAGAGATGCGGGGCAGTGGGGGACCCGGATTTCTTCCGAGCGCTGTGATATGGGGGCCCCTTTCGAACCCAAAACCACATGGCAATGTTGACCCCGTATTAATCAACCCCAGTTTATCATGGGGGGTTCCCTGGGTTTAGTGGGAAATCATCGCTTTTGCAGGGAACACCCCCGTCTTTGGGGTTGATAAAAATCAGGTCAACATTGCTAAACCACTTGAGGGTTTGCAGCCCCGTTCTAAAAATGGACAGAACCAAAAATCCAAAAAACGTGCCAACAACAGTGAAGGCCCATAAAACAAAAGGTAAGATGGTGCTTTCGAGTTTTTGGAGAGTTGGGCCTTGGGATGAAAGAACGCGCCCCCTCAAAAGCCGAACGCCGACGTCTGAGGGCTGCGGCGGTGCCGTAGTGCAAGGACTGCGCCTTGGACAAAACATGGCCGTCAGAACTTCTGGCAGCTCCGAATGGCTCCCTCTTCAAAAGCAAAATTGGACACCCCCGGCTCCGAGTGCGGCTCCCTTCCAACTTCCAAGCACCAGCTGGGGCCTCATGGCCAGCAGGGGCTATGAAAGAAGCTGGGCGCCTTCGAAGGTCTGGGACCTTGGGGAGTACTGAAATTCCAACACATGACCTATTGGTTCCACTGGAAGAGGGTAAAATGTAAAGCGTGTGTTCTTAGCCCAAAAACATGGCTTGTGTAAATTCCAGAAGTACAAGACTTGATTGCATCTGGATGAAGTGCATCCGTATCTTTAAAAAAACTCGGACTGGGCTGCCCTCAGGTCCCCCGCTAAAAGTTGACTTTTAGTGGGTCGAAATGGAAACTACCACTAAACACTAAAAAAAGCCAAAAGGCCAAGGAACCAAATGGATGGCTGGCTTCGCCACCGAGCGGAGAACATGCACAACACAGGAAGCTCCCAAAAGGCCAGCCGAGGCGCCGCGTACCCGGCTGCCCCGTAGTACGCCGCCAGCGGATCCGTGGCGATGCCTGGCTGCCAGGGGGCTTCCTCGTTTTTGGGTGGCAGGAAATTCGAGAGGAAAACGGAAAACTTATTTAGACATGGGGCGAATTTAGTCTAGAAAACGGAATCTCCTGTAACCTGTAACCTGTTATTTAGGGTGTATTGGGGCCATGTGCTGTTCCGGCACCAAACCCCTTTTGTTTGTACTTGGGTGTTCGGCCAAGCTCATAAAACCCCAAGAAGAGCTTGGGGCATTTAGGGGTTCATTTAAAAAACAAGCCCCCCCCCTCCCCGTCATGACAGGGTTAACTCCACTGGATGGGGGACTTCAAAACGGGCGATTTTCTAGGTGACCAACAACCAACTTGGCAACGCACACCCAAGCCTCGAAGTCAAAGCAGGCCAAGACATCCTCTTGGCCAAAAGGAATATTGGCAACCAAAGATGTTCAAAAGCACTGAACGGGGGGAAGGGGCCATGATGGTAGCATCCACCCTTGTGCGAAACAAGGCCAAGGAGCAACTTTGGAGGCAGTGGCTTCAACCCCCTACAGTACAAGGAAACCATAAAGAACCACCGCCTTGTCTTTTTTCAGTGGCTTCAACCCACATGTTCTTTGACGAATAGATGGCGCCGGCGAATGGTCAGAACCCAATAAAAAAAAACCTGTGGATGGACACCTTCCGCGCCAAATTAAAAAAACTCACCGAGTTCAAAAATAAACCCTGAAGGGCGGTTTTGTGTTGGGCTTGCCTTTAAACAAAATATTGTGTCGACCCCGGAATTTTTAGACCCGTCCTATTAGGAGGGTGTTCCCTCCATTCGTGGTTCGAATCCCCACTGAACAGGACACCCCCTACCAATCAACCTGTTTATTTTATCATTTTGGGGTCCCAAATGGTGTGGATGGACCAAATCCGCTTCGTAAGACTGCGACACTTCGCCCCGCCTGGCGCCCCCGGCGCGCCGGCGCCGGGTGCGCCCATCGCGCCGGGCGTGCCCATCGCGCCGGCGCCGGCGCCGGCTGCACCCCCCGCGCCGCCGCAGCCTGGGGCGGCGAGACCGAGAAAAACCCGCGCGGCGCGCGGTTGGAAGTGTCGAGAAAACTGAAAGGGCAACGCCAATCTGCCTCACAAACAAATCACGAAGCTAAGAAGCTGTTGAAAAAAGGATGTAGTTTTGCAAAAGGGTCCTGCGCGTGTCCACGCAGGAAAATACGTGGGCGCCGGTTTTTGAAGGCGATGCGCAAGAGAAACCATGCATTTTGCAGGCTCCTTCATCTAGACAAGCCTCGATAGGCCTAACCTACGATTTCAACCTCAAACCAGATTTTTCCCCGAAACAACTTGCATCACTTGCTCGCCCTTGCGGCTTGCTTTTTGACATTTCAAGAGCCATCCACGCGGAAGCCTACAAAACCACCACGGCATTCCCTCCCAAGCATAGGTGTCAAATAGATGGCCCTGGTGGATGATTGAACCACTAGGCAATCCAGGGCCCTCTACGTTTACCCAAACCAACCACAAAGCACACCTGAGTCACGGTCAAAACCCGGGTAGATGCCGGTTAGTAAGAAAAACGATCCCAGCCAGGTCAATCGTTTTTTCCTTTTTACCGGGTTTTGAGTGTGACTCAGTTGACTTCCATTTGATTAAGACATTGTTCTGTCATTTCCCCTGGTTTTGTTGAAGGGAATCCATTGCTACTGGAAGTAGCCGCCTCCATTTTTTGTCAGGGGACGTATCCTCCTCCATTTCTTGTGACTCACCTATGCTGGCAAAAAAAAAAAAAAACCGCAGGCCTGCGGTCATCTGTTGCATATAGGCCGCGTACTCCGGGGAGCCCGCCGCATAGCCCGCGTAGCCCTGGGCGGCGACGGCATTTGCTTTGCACCGAAAGGGGCTTGCGGCTTGCCCTCCCGAAACGAACGCTTCGGGCGGGGGGGGGGGGGCTTTGGGGTGGCTTTGGGGGGGGTGGGTGGGTGGGCTAGAACCAAAATCGCCCCAACCACTCCAAGGAGCACAGCGGAGAAAGCGCGCAAAGGCGAAGCTATTCTTTCATGGAGAAAGACCGGCCTGTCAAGTTGCGCGCTTTAAGCTGCGAAGGCATGTTGGGGAATCAGCTTTGGGGGCACGCAGGCTTATTTACCACCAACACAAGGTGATCAACCAACTTGCAAACTAACAGCGCGTAAAAGTATACCTGCAAATATACATGTACAGTATACAGCAAGAAGCCCGCATCCCAAAGCAAGCGCGGCAATTGTCTTGTCCCCGGCAGTTTTGCTTTGAAGGCCCGCTCACTCATTTCAACTCCGCTCATCTCCTCCAGCTCTCGCGTTGCCTCGCAGCGCGACCCGTTGCAACGGCTGCGTCCAGCAATCTGCTTTCATTATGTTAACCCCAGATTAAACCCCTGGTTGATTTTGATTGGGGGGTGTCCCTTTTAGTGGGGATTCAGACCACTTTTGCAGGAACAATGGGACGGGTAATGGTAGAGCAAATGTCGGAAAGAGCAGGGACTGCCGCTCTTGCTCGCACCGCTGTGGAGGTAAATGCCAAGAGCAACGCTCGTAGCGGCGGGACCGAGAAAAGCTCCTTGCTCTCAGGACTCTCGCGCGCGAGCGGGCACGAAACAGTAGGAAGGCCAGCTAACGCTCGATCGGGCCTCCGGCCTCGATGCGCGGAGCCGCTGGTCTTGCTTGGAGGGCCAGGAAATTTTGCGCTCACAGCTGCACCGATCGGCCTCATGGCCCTGAACACGATGCGCAAGCAAACGTGGGCGCGCGACAGCCTGCGAGACGCACCTCCGGAAAACTCACCGCACACCCGCGCGCTCGTAGCTCGCATCACCGCAACCCAAAACGCAGAGACACGCACAGAAGAGCTACAGGTGCGAACCTTTGCAGCGGCGAGAGCCATGACAACAAGACAAAGTAAGCACGACCTTCAAGTTGAAAGCTGCGGCGCGGGGCAAGTCACATCCAGCTCCTGAGGAAACACCCGACCAACGGTAAAGAATAAATATCTATGAGATATGATGCTTTATTCGTAGATATACATGTGTGCGCACGTCTGTGTATGTGTGTGTATGTAGGTGTCAGACACAGACCTCCCTTGGAGGACCTCTCCGCAACGGTTGGCCGGCAAACTGACCCGTCACCACTCCCCACTTTCCTTTACAACTTCCGCAAATAGTAGGAGGCTCGCCCATGCAGAGGCGGGCCTCCCCTCGTGGAACGCCGAAATGGCTGCTGAAAGCCCCAAACACTCCGGCATTCAAGGGGAGCTGATTTCACGTTTAGACTTGGGGGGCGTGCATCCTTTTATGTATGCGCCTTCAGTTGTAACCTTACAGACCTCCCAAACCCCATGCCTCAAAAGCACATCTCTTGTCAAATGACAAGTCTCCCTTCCAGGAGAGAAAAGAGCTTCGCAATACTGGGTTGGCACTTTTTCAAGCATCAACCACCTGGCCCCCACGTTGGATTGGTGATTTGGACAAGTTCCGGGGGTTCCCATTCACCCTCCACAAATAAGCCAGGGGTTCAAATCCCACTAATCCAACCTGCCATGGCCTGAACAGGCATCACTGGACGTCCCCAAATCAAAGGTTGATTTCCTGGTGGGTTCCATTAAAACCATCGCCACTTGTGGAGGTTCTAAAAAGGGAAATGGAGGAAACCCTGGTGGTAAATGGGATCCACTAGGTTGTAACCATGGCTTCCATTGCTGAAACGGTATCTGCTGAATCAAGGCTCCTTTTGCGGCAAAACGGGACAAAAAATTAAAAAAAGAAAAAAGAAAACAAAACGCTGGAAGTCACGTGAAACCTCTTTCAGCCGAAGGGCCATCGGTGGCTGCGGACCCAAATTGAAGGCAACCAACTCGAGGCATCCGTAATGAGAAATATTTGGGTCTGCTTCTTTGAGGGTTCCACTTTGTGGTGAGGACCAGAAAATGAAATTCGGGCCTGCTTCTTTGAGGGTTCCACTTTGTGGTGAGGAAAACCCAAACAGAAAACCACCATTTGGGAGAGTCCCCGCAAGAAAGACACACCAGACACACCCACACAAGAACCCCCGGAGACACTGTGATCAACATGTGGCAGACTGCCATGAGATTTAGATACCAAGCGGCTCCAAAGCCAGGATATGATCCGTAGGCAGCCTCAGCAAAGAGATCGCAGCCCCTCCCCCGGTATTCCGCAAACCGAACGAGTTTCTGGCACACGAGGCGTCGCAATTTCCGATTCTCTGGATGTCCGACTCACGCGGCCGGCATGCCTGGACGGTCCCCTTTTGAAGGAAAACGAAAAAGAGACTGCTTTAAACCCGTTGTTTGTATGTACCACAGCCCTCGTAAAAGTGTGCTACTTGAGGGGGCAGGGTACTTAAGCGGTGAGTGACTCCTCTTGCAAGCGACTTGGCACTCACCAGGATTAGTGGGTTAAAACCAGCGTTCGCCACTTGCAGAGTCCGCAAGTGTGATCTCGATTCGCCCTACTAAGGGCAACTAGTAATTAGCTTGCTTGCTGTCTTGCAAAAAAGTTTTTACCTTTTTGGGGGTTTAGTGGAAAACCCCTTGATTTCCCGAAAAGTTAAAGTCTAAAGATCCACCCATAGCAGCTAAGTTACGTAAGTTAGTGCCTAGGATCCCTTCCGAAGGAGCCACCCGTCCTTTCTCCTGCGGCCCGTCTCCCAGGAGTTTTTCTTGCCAGGAGGCGTAGGAGTACGCCTCGGCACGGGTCTCGCAAAAACCAAATCCAGGTCCCTTCAATCCCAGGTCCGTTCCCTTGGATGTGCTTTTGTAAGGGGAAGAAGTCGACCCAAGCAATGGAGCAATGGATGTCCAGGTGGGCGTGGGTCCAAATTAAGCCACCAGGGGACCGCAGGTGAAATGTCGTTGGTTCGATTTGCCGGGGTTCCATTTTAGGTCTCCCAAACAGCGGGAAATGTGTTGGGATTCGCCGACGGGACTTGCCTTGCCCCTAGCCCCAATGAGAACCAGTCAGAAACATACCCCGGTCGGCAACATAGGGGAGAGATCCCCATGAAAGAAGCATCCCTTCACGGGGGAAACAACCCCTCCGTTCATCCACCAGAAGGCGTCATTGCGTTTGTTTGGGGGGAACCCTTTTAAGCCAGGGGGGTCTTGGGAATCAGCGGTCAGTGATTCGAACCTGGCGTGAAACAAGTCTTCCCAAAGAATCAAAAAACCCAACCTATGTACGGCACGACGGTGCCCAGCAAACGCACTTTTGTGAGTGTGGATTGATGATCTTCCTTCCCGAAAGCGGCCCCAAAACAAACCGAAATACCCTCTTAAGGCAAAAGGAACATACCATGGGTGGACAAACTCCTGCACCAGGTGGTAGATGGCTTGCCCCAGCAATTATAGGCTTTCATCCATCCCAACTGCAAGATTCTGTCCGTCCACACTAGCTTGGACCCTCAAACAGGAACAGCCACCACCACCTGGCCGAAGAGACCGGTTGGTCGCAGTGCTTCAAGTCGATGTTTCTTCATCCAACGTGTGCGGATGCGTCCAGCACGTCTGCCAAAATTCGAAAAAGTGTGTCAGCTTCCCGGACTGAGGGTGCTTGGATCTTCGTTCTGTTGACCCCAAAGTAATAAACCCGTGCTTCTTAATAGGGGGTGTCCCTGAGTGAAATGTTGGGAATCAGACCACTTTTCGAGGGGAACAAGCCCCTGGTATGCGGTCGACGGACGGGCGAAAAGTCATAGAAAGGTACTTGGATGCTCGATTCGCCAAGTTAGAAAGTGATTAACCCACCTTTTTCTCTCAACCTCAACGTTGTGCCGAGAAAGACAACCACATAAAAAGCGCAGGCGACACCCCCTGATCCTTTCTCCCTCGCCGTTTAGAGAAAAACATCGATCGCTCAATCAGGCTCGGTACCAAAGAAAGGAGTCGGTTCTTATTGATATCCCACAAGGGTTGGACCAAACTTCCCAGTCCAAATCCCTTCGCATACCCGGCCCAATTGGCTGAAAGGAGGCTATAGGTGCGACGCTGCTTTCCGAGCGGCTGAAGGATATGCCTCGGACTCGGTGTTTCGGACTTTGCTTGGAGGTTCAACACCAGGGGTCCCCATATTTCCCCTTGCCAGAGGGTGTTCACTTTCCAACCCTTATGGTAGCCAAAAACTTGTGGTTTCTTCAGCCCCTCTCAAAAAGAACTGAACCAAACAACCTAAGAGCCTAAACAGAACCAAACACCCTAAGAGCCTAAACACATGCCAACGAGCGTGTAGTTAAACATCACCACTTGGTTGCCAATTCAAAGTCAGCTTCCATAAGCGGGGTAATGGTTGAAGGGGAAATATGGGGAATCCTGATTCAGAGCTCAAGTTTTGGGATCGTGTTTGGACTTATGCAGGTGAGTGGACTTGTCGATTCGGGACCGCACCCGACTGAAGAATCCGTCGGGGCATTTTCAGTCACTGAAGACCTGAACAGGGTGCCTAGTCCCCTTGGATTCGTTGTCCACATTCCAACGCCGGAAAGACATCCGACGTTTTCCGGCATTCTTGCTTGGCAAACCGCTGAGTGCGGTTTGTTCGTTGATCCCTTCAACATCCAACCTGTCAGCGGGATATCTCAATCCCTCACTCCGAAAGTCTCGTGGCTACCGCCACAGGGCCACCTTGCCACGGCACCTGACAGGTCCCACCAATAGGACACTGATCTTCCAGGTACCCGCCCAGGTGTCATGGCAAGGTGGGAAGGGCAAGGCTTCCCTGCAAGACGCAACAAATTAAGACGGACTCCTTCGCCAAGGGACCGGACGGAACCCTGATTGGCCTTCTGCACTTCCCCTTTTTGGTCTTCCCCTGTCAACCCAAAAATCCCGAGCCCTCCATACCTTTTGACCATGCAGACCTCCCGAAGGAGGTCTGAACAGACAGCCATGAGTGAGATGGAAGGGCTAAACAAAAAAGGAAAGAAGAAAGAATATGTTGGGTCGTCGCGCTGCTAAAAGCAAAGTGCAAGCTAAGTGCAGTCCCCGACTGGAAAGGAGTAAGCTCGCGTTGAATTTGGATATCAAGGCAAAACCCGTTCTCACCCCTTGCCAAGCACCCCCTCCCCCCGCCCAACACTGCGCGACTGGGGCCCTGGCGTAGCCATACCTCGCAACTGAGAAGGCACAGTGGAATCCGCGTGCGAGGAACCCGGAAACCCATACAGTTGGGGGATGCCATCCGGCACACGGCTCCAGGGTTGATCAAAAAACCCGTCATTTTGAGAGGAATCACGTTTTCCCCGACAGCTGAAAGCTTTGGGGTGTCAGCCCAGATAGGGTCCGGGGTGGTCCAGGGCGGTTTTGAGGTAAGGTTCCACGAGGGTTCCACCAGAGTTCCACCAGGTTCTGCGAGGGCTGCGGGGTGGTCCGGGGTGGTTTGAGGTAAGGTTCCACGAGGGTTCCACCAGGGTTCCACCAGGTTCTACGAGGGCAGCGGGGTGGTCCGGGGAGGTTTGAGGCAAGGTTCCACGAGGTTCCACCAGGTTCCACCAGGTTCTGCGAGGGCTGCGGGGTGGTCCGGGGTGGTTTGAGGTAAGGTTCCACGAGACGAGGGTTCCACGAGGGTTCCACCAGGGTTCCACCAGGTTCTGCAAGGGCTGCGGGATGGTCTGGGGTGGTTTGAGGTAAGGTTCCACGAGGGTTCCACCAGTGTTCCACCAGGTTCTGCGAGGGCTGCGGGGTGGTCCGGGGTGGAGGTAAAGTTCCACGAGGGTTCGTCCGGGGTGGTTTGAGGTCAGGTTCCACGCAGGTTCCACCAGGCTTCCACCAGGTTCTGCAAGGGCTGCGGGATGGTCCGGGGTGGTTTGGGGTAATGATCCACGAGGGTTCCACCAGGGTTCCACCAGGTTCTGCGAGGGCTGCGGGGTGGTCTGGGGTGGTCCAAGGCAAGGTTCCACGAGGGTACCACCAGGGTTCCACCAGGGTGCCACCAGGTTCTGCGAGGGCTGCGGGGTGGTCCGGGGTGGTTTGAGGTAGGTTCTGCCAGGGCTGCGGGGGTCCGGGGTGGTTTGAGGTCAGGTTCCACCCACCATGGTTCCACCAGGTTCAACGTAAGGTTACACGAGGGTTCGACCAGGTTCCAGCAGGGTTTTACCAGGTTCTGCAAGGGTGGTTTGAGGTATTTCCGCCAGGGTTCCACCGCGGTAAGGTTCCACAAGGGTTCCACCAGTGTTCTACCAGGTTCTGCGAGGGCTGCGGGGTGGTCCGGGGTGGTTTGAGAAGGTTCCACAAAAGCTCCGCCAAAGTTCGACCAGGGTTCCACCACTGTTGCACCAGGTTCTGCAAGGACTGCGGGGTGGTCGAGGTTCTGCGAGGGGTGTGGGATGGTCCGGGGCGAGGTAAGGTTTCAAAGGGCTCCACAGAGTTCCGCGAGGATTCCACAACGGTTCCACAAGTCCAAAAGGTTCCACAAAGGTTCCGCAAGGTTCCATGGTTTGCCGTAAAGAAAAACAATGTGTCGTGCGCCCGTCGTCTGCTCAGAAGATCGCCTTGCTCATGGGCGGAACACTAAGCAAAACCCGAAGTTCATGTTTCTCAGCACACTTTCAATGTTTTGTGACTTGCTCACTTCTTCAGGCAATGCGGCCCGAAATGTTGGCTTTGTTGCAAATCAGATCACGTTGCTGCGGGACTCTCGCTGCGCAGCAGAGTAAATGCTTGGCATTACTGAGTAGTACTTTGGGTTCCAAAAACGCTCCACGAGGTTTCCACCAGGTTCTGCAAAAGCTGTGGGGCAGCCCTGAGGAAAGGTTCCAACAAGTTTCACGCTGAGTTCCACGAGGGTTCAACGAGGACGGTTTGCGAGGTTCACTGGGCACAGGTCGGGCGATGCGCCGTCGGGGCCCGATTGCACCGTCTGGGCCCGATCGGGCCCGATTGCGCCGTCGGGCCCCGATCGGGGCCGGACTCAGTCGGGCCGCGTCAACTGTACCAAGCTGGCATGGCCTAGTTTTGCTGGATACAAAAAACCGGCGTTGAGCTATAATATGTGGCTGGGGTTGGTGGGAGCCCACTTGCACCACGGAACCATCGGGCCCCCGGTCGGGCCCGATTGCGCCGTCGGGCCCCGATCGGGCCCCGATTGCACCGTCGGGCCCCGATCGGGCCCCGATTGCGCCGTCGGGCCCCGATCGGGCCCCGATTGCGCCGTCGGGCCCCGATCGGGCCCCGATTGCGCCGTCGGGCCCCGCAGGGCGCGATTGCGCTGTCACTCTTAGCTTTGCTTTACAAAGTTACAACGCGGCATCCTCAGCAAAACCGGTCGCGGGGCGTTCTGCGAGGCTTCTGGGAGGGTGTGGTGCTGTTGGGGATATCGCCTGAGCTTCTTTTTTTTTTTGGGGGGGGGGGGCGTTCTGGGTTCCATGTGAATTTGCAGGGAGTGTATGTCTCTCTCTCTCTCTCGCTCTCGGCCCCAACTAAAGCATGAGAAGCGGACTTGCTAGACCCCTTTAGTGCAAAACGGGAGGTGGATGCTCCTCCCATGTTGCTCGCATCCAAGACAAAAGCAGCCAATCGGGCCTCTAGACCTTCAGGCTGTGTATTGGCTCAGAGAGAAACAAAAGGCGAATCGGAATCTGCGGAGGCCCTCTCTCTTGACACCAAGTGTTCAGTTGCGTTTTCTTTTTCAACCGTACCCTCCCTTTTCAGGCTCTCCGCACAAGATAAAAACCAAGTTCTCGGCACCCGTGTGCAAATCCCCGTAGTTTCTTTGCATGTCTCGCCGTGGTGCGACATCATCATGGGGTACGCCCCATAAGACGAGGCCGATGGGGTCGGCTGGTCTTCCGACTCATCCGAGGAGTCGGAGGAGTCATCGGACATGGCGCTCGGCTCGCTCTGAGGAGCTTCTTAGCAACCTCCAGGCTTCTGGGCCGTTTTCGGATCCCCCGCTGAGAGTGAATAACCTTTTGCCGAAATGGACTCCAAATCGAACCCAATCCCAACCAACACAAATACTGGGCTGCCCGTTCCCAGATCCCCCGCGAAAAGTTGTTAACTCTTAGTGGGTCGAAATGGAAACTACCACTATGGACATGCAACCGCAAAGGCTTCTTTGTTGCCCCGGTTTTCTGGGCTGCCCGTTTTCGGCTCCCCCGAAAACAAAAAGTGACGCACTTTTCGTGGGTCGAAATTCGGAAACTACCACTAAACACTCAAAGGTGCAAAGGCTAAGGAACCGGATGGCTGGCTTCGCCACCAAGGTTTGGGAACAAGGTGCCCATGCGGAAACCTCTCAAGATGACGGACTGTTCCCTTCTCTTTCCCTTTAAACCGACCCCCGAAAAGGGTACCAACTCCAAAAAAGGGCAGACCCAGTGGGTATGGGCCCAAATTCAACCACCAGAAAAACCGCAGATTTAGTCCTCGTTGTCCATTTCCCAGGGCGACCCACTTTGGATATCCATTTTTGACCCACACCCAAACAGGAATCGGTCCCCTAGGCTGATTTCATGTCGTTTCTGTAAATACCCTCCTGTCCGCCAACACGTTCCTGGAGAAGGGACCCTCCGGTGGTACCACAAGGGGTTCCACCATTTTGAGAAAGTCCCACGTTCCTCTCGGACAGCTGCAAAATGTTCGAGCGAGCAGCATGTGAGTTGGGTTGGGATGGCAAGAGTCAGTGGAGGTCTGTGGTGCCTGACACTTGCGATGGCTCGCCAACATGTCAGTATCATTGCTCTGCAAACGTGGGTCAGCAACGGGTGAGCCCACAAAACTGCGAACGTGTCCGAAGGGGCCACTCAGCCGATTGCTGGCGATGTCCGAGCGAGCCAACTCAGCCGTCCAAGTCGCGAGGGGGCCGTCCGAGGGTGCCCTTGAAAGATCGGAACTTGGGCCTCAGGGCCCTTGGACTGAACCCACGAAAACTCGGTGGGTGCTGGTGCTTTATGTTTTTTACGCAAAGCGAAGAGAGAATCTGGGAATCTGGACCAGCCAGCAAGACTGCCTTGCCACAAATACGAGGGGGGGGGGGTGTGAGGGGGGGGCATAGTGACAATGGAAGCCGCCAACTAGTGCAAGAATTATTTGGTGGGCAACCGCATACTCCAGTTGGAATAGCAATAGCGTAATCTGTCAGCGTGCTCTATGAGCTTCCAATGGTAGACACGATCTAGAATTGTTGACCGGGTCTTCCTTCACTTAGAGGTCAGCATCGTGGATTTCGGTTTCACGGCTCGGGTGACCTCGGGCGTCTAACCTCTCGGAAAGGTGTCGTTGTTGAAGGAAATCAAGGGAGACCAAGCATTCTGAGGGTTCCCCAGTTTGAGACGCACCCACTCTTTAAGGCGCCCTGACATGCAAGGATCGAGAAGCTCGCGGCACGATAAACTGAAGTGGCCCGAAATTGACTCGTCAAACACCCCGCCGGTTCTGAGCAATCTGTCGCTGGCCTTGCCGCAATCCCCAAAGAGCTATACCACCAAACTCTTGTTTCATGGTTTGTGTGTTGGGTTGGCCATTGTTACAGTTCTTCGTCTCAAAGAAAGCCTTTGAAACTAAGTGCTTCTGTTCTTGTATCTGCCTGTGTTCTGCGATCGGATGCACTGACAACAAATGTGGAAATCCGCTGAATTATTTGATTCCTTGAATGCCGGGCGAGACCGCGCTACGCCCAGCATTTGCCGGCCGATCTCAAAAAGGGTCTGAGTCTTAGAACACTTTGCTGCACGAAACGACAAATGCGATTGGTATGATCCCAGAGCTCTTGGGCCTTACCGCAGCTTGTCCAAATCAACCCATCTCTCACTAACCGGCTAAGCTTGAGCCAGTAGAAGCCGTTGCCAAGCCAAGCGCACCGACACGGGACATCAACGGCCGAAGTGGGCATGGGAAAATTGGAAATCCCTCATGTCGTGTGTAGTCCCCAAAACCAGCGAAAACAATTCTCAGTAGAATGCGGGCACGCGACCTTTCGGGGTACGCCCTAAATGGGTAACAGTACATTTGCATGCGACATGAAATTTGTTGGTTGCTTCGCACGTTCTAGGGTCACTAGCTGCTCCCTGCAAACCTTTCTCGAACCTTGCCATGGATGCGATGCCTCGTATTGTTGAGAACCCAGATTGCTGACTCACTTCAGTCGCCGACTCCTCAACTCCAACTCAAGCAGAAATCCCTGCATGTCCCTTCAACACAAACAAGGTAAACTCTAAATGCATGTTTCTTGAGGGTTATGGTAACCCCAGATGAATAAACCCCAGTTTGTGAATAGGGGGGTGTCCCTGGCTTGAGTGGGGAATCATCACATTTGGACGGGAACACCCCCATATTAATAAACAGGGGTTTGCTAATCCGGGATTCCAGTGCCCTCTGTGTCTTTATCTTTTTTCCAGAAGACCAAAGGAAAAGCCGCAATGCTGGGGATCCGAATGCCAAAACAGGACACGCCCAAACCACCATGCCCCTAACCAGAACTCCTTGTAGCTCCGAAAGGCTCCCTTCTTGAAACAAGACTTGGATACCGAATCCCGTCCGGCTCCCGTCCGTCCGGCTCCCTTTCCATCAGATGGCCAGGACTTTTCAATCAGATGGCACGCTTTTTGTGGACATCTCTCCCCAGAACTGGGAGCACATGGGCGCGAGCCGGCGGCTTTCTTCGACCGGCGTTCGGGCCTTGGGAGTGGGTGGGCGTGCGGGCCCGCTGCACATCGTCCAGCTTCGTGAGGATGTGGTATGCCTCACACCCAAAAGGAAAAAACGGGGCCCGGCAAGTCGGACAAACCCACCTGATATGCCCCAAGAATTGGGGGGGTGATGACTTGGGGAAGAAAAATATGTTCAGCGAATGTTGGGTCCACATCAGCTGGGTCCGACTTCCTGGGTGCAAGGCTGGCCCGCTTGAAATTGGGATTCAAACGGGAAACCGACATCAAACCAACCGTTTTAGGAAAATAGTCCGATTCCTATTCTGCAGAAACATCCACATGGATACTTTTTGGAAATCCACATGGACACTTTTTGGGAACCCAACCTCCGGCGTTGGTTGCTTGTTTTGGGTTCCCCCAAAATCTCGCGACCTGATTAGTAAAACACAAACTCTTGTGCTGGTTGCGCTCCCTGAAAATGAACAGAACCTACCCCCCCCCTCCCCGCCCCGCCAAAAAAAAAAGAACGTGATCCAACAACAGTGAGAAAATCATCCAGCAACGAAAAAATAAACGTTAAGAGACAAACGACAAAAGCAACCCTATTAAAAAGAGAGAGAGAGAGAGAGAGAGAGAGAAACAACAAAACACAACAAGAAGCAATGATCATAGGTGTCGAAATAGATGGCCCTGGTAGATGATTAAACCACCAGATAAACCAGGGCCATCTATTTTTCGACAAAAACAACCAAAAAGGACACCAATGGCAACGATGCGAAGTCGATAAGGGTCCATCCTTGTCTGCCCGGCCGATCTTCAAGTCCTTCTCCAGCTCTTCCTGCCAGCGCGGCCGCTCGGGGTGCCGAGGGGGGGGGTTCCTTTCAACGGAAACCGAGGGGAAACCCATTTAATAGGACGTGGGTCAAAAGCCAAATCGTACACCCAGTGAACATCCCATCCCAATCCCCACGCAGCTTTAAATGGAAACCCTCCATTTGCTTTTTGGTCCCCTGGAAAAAATGAGAACATAATTCCAATAGTGAGATCGATTCCCTTTAAAACAGGGGAAAATATAGAATATTCTTAACCAGACAGAAGAAACCAGAAGGAAAACCCATTTGGCCATGGGTCAAAATCCAAATCGTAGCCCCAGTGAACATCCCAATCACCACTAAAATAGACTAAAGTGGGTGGTGCACCCACCCCAAAATGGGTACCATTCGTTTTGACAACCACAGCCATTTGGGTGTGGCTCAAACATAGGGACCCAAAAAAGAAGCCTGAAGATGGAACAGCAGCCTCAAACCTGCGATCAGTCGGTGTGCGTACCATGGGCCGGGCATGTGCGCATGCCGGATTGCGTGTGACGGATTGCGCGGGAGGTGTGCTGATCATGTGCCAGGCATGTGCAGGCGTGCGACGGTGTGTGTCTGTGCGGGCGGGCCTGCAGCTCAACAACCACCCATGCTTTGTGGGCCGGCAAAACTTCCACTTCAAAGACATCCAGTGGTCATGGGAAAGAAGGGGGATCCGTGACTTAGGCTGATCTCAAGTTGTCTCCTCCCCCCCAAAAAAGGAAAAACATGTCGAACAAATCTCGAAGAAATGCTTCTCCCACTCTTCCAGCTGGTAGAGTGGGGAGCCCCCTTTCATCTTGTGCATATTTGTCTGGTGGATTCCCGTAAAACAACATCGGCTGAGCCCAAGTAGCTTCCCGTTTCCCTTCAAGCCAAACCAACTAAGGCTTCCCTGACAAAAGGCTAAATCGCTGTTCAACCGAAAAGTTAAAGTCCAAAGATCCAAGTCACCATAAACATGGAACCTGACACATAAACATGGAACCTGACGTGGGGACCCGATTCCCGTAAAAGAACAATGGTCTTCCGGGTCCAGAATCGTTCCATGTGAGTGAAAGCTGTTAGGCCACACCAGGCACCCCACAACTGGGCTTTCCTCTGATCCCCTGCTCAAAGTGACTAACGTTTAGTGTGTTTCGGAAACCCAACCACCAAATCCAAAAAAGCGTTCAAGAAACAAGGCCCAAGAACCGGATGGCCTGCGGGGGAGCCACCGACACCCAAAAAATACGGATGGCCTTCGGGAGCCACCAACACAAACAAAAAACAAAACAAAAAAAACGCGAGGTACCGGGCCTCCAAAACCAGTTGACAGACCCTCAAACAACCGACAGCTCCATGGCTGCCAACGAAAAAAGAAGGAGGAGCAAGAAAAGGAAAAGAGAAACCGGTTGGTGCTCCTTCGGGAGCCACCAACGCACACACACACACACACAAAAAAAAAAAAAAAAACGGCCCCAGGCCCAGGGCCCCTTGGGGCCCCAGGCGATCAGCTCTTGCTCCTCCGGCTCCACCTCGTCCTCGTGCACCTCCGTTCGGCTTGGCGAACGAGAGCTCGGGCGGGCTCTCGAGAGGTCCGGGGGGGGGGGACCTCCCCCCACTCCACGTGGTGAGTCGTCCCGAAAGGAAAAAAAAATACAAAAAAATGGAAGTTGAGTCTCTTTCCGGAAAAAACAAATGGGTTGCCAAAAATAGGGGAAGTTCTCCAGCAGCTTGAATCTATGGGGTCGATAGGCGCAGGCACTGGGGTGAAGAAGCTTTCAGGGAGGTTCAGGGATTCCGGGGCCGTTGGGGATAAAATGGAAGTTGAGTCTTCCACATAGGGGAAAATGGATTGCCATAAATGGAGACCTGTAGGGGTCGAAGTCCCCCCCGGGTCCCATTCATAAGGGCATGGGGTAGGATTGCAACCCAGGTAGCCCCAATTGTTTTGACAAGCTCCGACGTAGGGGCATCCAACCCGCCTAGACAATCACAAATAACAACTTTTGGATGGCGCTTAGAGAGAAACCAGAAGGCAACTTTGAGAACGACGCAAATGGGGAGACCATCAAAACTGGGTGTGCAAAATTCCCTCCATGCAACCTGCAAGTTGGGTAGATAAGGAAGTGTCAAACTGCGCATCTTTGATGGAGCTTGCCCAAGCCCCAAACCCCCCCCCCTTCCCCCCCCCCCCCCGGCGGCCTGTCGTCGTGCGGCGCCTGGGTGCAGGCGACCAAGGGGTGCCCTTTGCAAATGCACCAAGGAAAGCTGAGCAAAACTAACTTGAATGGCTTGTTCTTCGCAAAAGCTGGAAACTATAGGATCTTCGCCCAGAAAGGCTTTGGGGTGGTTTGGCGCAGCTTCCAGGTGTTGGGGATGTTACCTGGGCTTATCTTGCGTTTTCTGAAACAACAAGGAATATCCTTTCCAACTCTTGGTGTGTTGAAAACTTGTTTCTTCCAGCCCCCTAACCATGAACAGAACCAACAAAAACGAAACATGAGCCAACAACCGTGAAGTATCCACAACTCCAAGTTTCCGCCCGGCCCCTTCAACTGAAACCGATTCCGACCGTGACGGAACCTCCTCGATCGGAACCCTTCAGAAAACCACCACGGAGCCGATCTGGGCAGAGACCCCATAGCTTTCAGCTGTTGGGAAAAAACAATGTCGCGCAACGCTTTGATCCCACCGTTCCTCAGTCGCCCAAGTCCGTCTTGCTCGTACTCTGCCTTGTTTGAGGCAACACTGTCTCTGCAGTGACTTCCAAACTTGGGCTCGTTTGGTTGCCCGGCTGGCCTGGGGAGTCGACACAGAGCCGGTATCTCATTGATTTCGACAAATTCTGCCTGGACCCTTCTATAGGTGGAAAGACTGGACATGAGATCAAGTGAAACATCACCCCTAAGCAAACTCGCCAAAGGCATTTAAAACCAACAAAAAGGGGTGGGAGCCCTGGTACCCTGCCGACTGTGAGGAGATTTGTTCAGGCCTCGATCCGAAACTTGACGAGGAAGGCTCGCCAAGGGGGCTGGGGCCCTACACGCTTTCCGCGAGGCCAGTAACGTCAAACGTATCCTCCTGTACCTATGGCCATGGTTTCTTCCCTAGAGACCCCGAATCTCTAAGGACTCTAGCAAAGGGTCCCTGGCCATTCGTCCAAGGCTGGCTTTTAAATGGGTCCTTCCACGGCCGGGTGTGTTCTTGAACCGCAAGCCACCAGCTCCAGAACTTGAACCGCAAGCCACCAGCTCCAGAACTTGAACCGACGGTGTAACTCAAGTACATTCGGCCTATGTTTTGCTCAACCCCTCGGCGCGCTGGAAAGCTCACCGATGGCTCACCGATCGTCGGTGACTCTCAAGATCCATACCCAGTCAAGCAACCGAAAGGAGATTAGGAGATTCCGCGCTTCAAAGCACGAAATGGAAAAATGCGACAGTGGCGAAACAGAACATGTCACCGCCTCGAACAAAATAGACTACCTATTGTTTCTGGGGGACATGACTGACCAAACAAGGGGTATTACAAGGAGTGGTGTGATTGCTGTTGGCAGGTCACGACCGCAATCAAAGATGAAGAAGTCTGCCCAAAATGGGTTTGTCTCAAAACAGATCTGTCGAATAGTGATGGTTCCTTTCGGCTAAAAACAAAGAGGTTCCGGGCCTGATAAACAAATCGGATTATTTTCTAGGAATCCGGGAGTACTGGAAGTGACCCAAAAAAAACACCCGCACATTCAGCCCAAGAAAAAGTAGAGGCAAGCCGGAGAATCCCCACTGTTCACTCGGAGCCCGAAAATTGCCCGACTCTGTCTCGGAGATTTGGCTCTGGATCGTCGAGGCCGCGACACTCCCGCATGAGCTTTACAAACTCCTCGCCAGGCCAGAAAAACAAAGAAGAAAAAAAACATGGGTGTCTCTTTGTTTGAGGGTACCCGTTTCTTTTTGGTACGTGGTTCAAGGGGAAACCAACAGGAAAACCACTCTTCCCCAGGGGATGTGGGGCGTCCTCTTTTCCCCCCCCCCCCCCTCCCCAGGCCCCCCATGCCAAAAGCCCCCCATGACATAAGCCCCCCATGGCATGTGAGGTCCACTTCACCCGCGTTTGCGGGCCCCCCCGCCCCCATGGTTTGGGGGGCCGGGCTTCCTAGAGGGCCCCCCCCCACAACGACCACGCCAATCCTCTCAAGGCCTCAAAGCATTCCAAGCCCCCCACGCGCTTTTGGTTTCCAGCCAAACAAAGACACGTGCGAAGTCCCAGAACTTTCGCCAAAAAAAATAGTTTAAACAAAAATGCATCCCAACCCACCCACCCACCCACCAACCTCAACCCAAACCCCCCACCCCTCCCTCCCTCCTGCCCCCTCCCCTGCCCTGCCGGTTCTCCTCAAAGTCCAGGGACCCATCCCCGTTCTGATCAAAGGACTCGAAGACCTCAGAGGCCACCTCCTGGCAGACCTCGATATCGCCACAACGCGCCAAGGCGACGAGCGAGAGGGGGGAAGCTGCGACTCGGCTTCTGAACTTCGGACAACGCAAAGGCCGAAGCCAACTAAAAAGGCAACCCAACCCAACGGGGGAAGAAGAAAAAACCGCAGGGGGCATAGCTGGAACCCCCAAGTGCAGGAGTAGGGGGGAGGGGGGGTGATCTTGAGGCTTGCTGCTTCGATCGGCAAGAAAGGAGACATGGAACGACCGATAGAAACAAGACATGCAACTGATTTGGTTTCCTTGATTCGAGAAACCCCAAAAACCGGTTCGTTCCCAAAACTCGGTCCTTCCCTACCCATCGCACCAGCAAGAAGCCGGAGTTCCTACAATGGGCCTCTTAGTTCAAGCAAACCAAAAGAAAACACCTGAGCATGTCCCCTCATTGTGAGACAAAGCCTGAACGGGGGGGTTGATGAATATTTTTCACTTAGGGTCCCCGGCCACGACCATGGGTAACTTCTCCCACAGCGGGTGAACCCAATCTATGAAAGGACCTTGTGACCAACCCCCAAATATTGTGTCTTCGGTGAAGGGCTAGTTGCCCCTTTTTGGTTTTGAAGGAAACAAGGAAACCCAACATTCTGGGGGGCGGTCCTCACCAGCTCAGTGGTATATCCCAGTATTTGCAGGTTCGCAGGGGGTTGTCTTGAAGCAGGGGGGGCCCATTTTAACGTTTGGTTTCCTTTTCATTTCCATACAAAACCAACAACGGGTACCCTTAAAAAGAAAGCAGCTAAAATCATTACAACCGTGTCCTTTCATCTTTGATCGCAAAATTGGATACCCCCAGCTCCCTTCGTCCGGCTCCCTTCCAACCACCAGCTATTCCAGTGGTTAGGTTTTGTTAGATGGTCCTTTTGCGTCGGACCTTGGGGGGAGGGGGGGGGGGGGTTGAGCTCTAAATTTCCCCCAAACCACCCGGCGCTAAAACGTGAAATGTCGGGGCTACAAGAATTCTAGCGTGATCCCCCTGATGACTGAAGCTTCTTTTTTTTACCCCCAGGCAAGTCTTCGACATGTTCCTCTTGAAAAAGGGAGTTCCTGGTGTTCGAAACATGCACCAAAACGCAGACCGCATGTATGACCACAAAAAAAATGAAGGGACTCTGCAAATGATCATTTCTTGGGTCCCATCCTGGACAAGAAGCGCCAGTACACCCCAACCACAACCGCTTTCCCAACAGCTTCATATGTGGAAAGGAAACAAGGACTAAAACCTGCGGTTTTATTTGGTGGTTTAACTTTGACCCACACCCATATGCAGACCGCAAGCAACAGAAAAGGAAAACAAAGCGCCCGCCTCCGGCGTCCAAAGCTTGTTGACGTCCGCGCTCCGCAGCACCTGCTCGATCTCCTCCTTGGTGATCCGCCCGTCGTCGTCCTGCCACGCATTGCCACGCAACGCGTCAGCGAGCCGCCCGGTTGAAAACCTCACCCAGCAGCGGAGCAGCGGGCCAAAGCGGAAACCCCGTGGGGTCTGCGGGGGGGTTACAGTTGCTTTTGTTCGGGAATCACCAAAACCGGTTCATGCCCAAAACTCGGAAGGTTCCCCAGCTACCTATCGCACCAGCAAGTTTCTAGAACATCCCGTCGCTTTTTCGAAGAAAACAGAATGTCCGAGAGTGATAGATTCCCTTCAAAACCAACAGGGGAAAAAAATGAGAATTTTCGTAAGCAAATGCAAGCGGTTGTACTTCATTTGCGCATGAATTTGGATAAAGCACCCTTTGGGACACCATTCAGGGGCTTCATGCCCAACCATTTTTGAGACATAGACGTAGAGGGAACCCCTGTTAAGCCAGGTAGAACCACCGTGAACCACCTTTTCATCTGAACCTCCCAAATAACTGGCTCGGGTTTTGTAGCCAGGGCCCACTCCATGCTTAAGCAACTATGCGTTCAATTTCAAGGTAAATGGGTTTCTATGTACATCTATATAGAGATCGAAATATAATGTTGCTTTCCGGGCGGAAAAGCCATGGTCCGAGCCGTGTCTTGCCTAAGCAGCACCGATGTCCAAAGTGCAGCTGTGGGTTTGTCTCAAAATAAGAATCCCCCCCCCCCATGCTTTAGGTAGTGTCCCTTTAATTTCCCAAACAGAGAGCCTTGATTGAGCACGCGAGAAACGGTAAAAAACTCGGCCTGCACGTCGAACGCCTTGAAGGCAGCCCACAGCACGTCTTCCTGGCGAAGCTTGGCTTTCGGGGGGGTGGCTTTTACAATCAACTACCATTCTATGGGTTGCTTCCTACCAAAAGCTCGGCCTTTTGCAGCCTCCCACCAAAACACAAAAAGAGAACAAACGGGACCAAAAAGACCAAAAAAGCCAAAAGTTCTAGGGGTCCCTTCCTGTTCTCTTCAACCATCCTTCTTTTCCCCAATACCGGATCCGTTTTCCCCGGGCTGGAGGTTTTCCTCGAAAGATTCGGATGGGTTCAGAATGGACCTGGGAGGAAAAGGCCCTGGAACCCTGGGAACCTGTCCAATTCCCTTCCAGCTCGGGCGGGCCCCCGGAGCCGGCCGGAGGAACCAGATCTGCAAGTCTGAGCTGCCAACTCCACAAAAAAACTCCGCAGACTCCACAAGAAGGACCCTTCCCCCCGGAAACTATTGTTGGGAAACATGTGAAACATGTTGAGTGGTTGAAACCCAAATCCACTTAACTGCTAAAATTTAAATGTTTGCTCCCCTTTCAACGTCAACCAAGTTTAACATGGCGCCTGTGGGAGGGTACCTGGATCAATCTTCCTCAAGGAGGCCTCTGTCAGGTGCCATGACAACGTGGGAGGGTAGATGTCCAAGTAAACAACCCCCCAAAACGTGGTTTGTTGAAAAAGAATACCCCGCGGAACCCTTTTCTGGGGCCCAATTGTTTCAGACAAACCCAAACAAGTCGATGGGCCACCGAACTGTTTGTTTGCCACTAAAACGGTCCAAACTCAAAAAGGTCTACAGTCCGGTTGAACTACATGGTCCAATCCCCACCCAAAAAAAGAAGAGAAAAGAAGGCGGACTCAGGGAGTCAGCGAGCCGATCAAATGTTTTAACTAGGCATGTTTGAACTCATGGAGTCAGGATCTAAGGAGAATTTGTATACTCCAAACGGACATACCACACCTATGGGCGTGATATAGGAAAGAATCTTGGGGTATGCACCCTGTATCACCCATGTATAACCAATGCACCATAACCCATGCATAACCAATGTACCCTGTCCAACCCATGTAAAGCCTCTAATGGTAGGCCCATTTGGATTTGCCAGTCTGGTAGAAGTGAGCCCCGCCCCCGTAACCAACAAATATCCCGCCTGCTCTGGGGAATGATGACCCCTGACTTTAAAAAAGTCGAGCCAGTTGAGCGATTCCTGGGGTTATAACCTATGCACCCTGAATAACCCATGTATAACCTATGTACCCTGTATGACCCCTGTACAACCTTTATTTTTTTGGGGGGGGCATGGTAGGTCCGTGTGGTGAAAGCTTTCTGTCGCCCCCCCTGGACCACAAAAAACCCGGCGCCCCGCGGGCTCGGGGAACCGGACCCCGGACTTCCGCCTCCAGGCTCACGCGCTCGCCGATGCCGGCGGCGCAGAACTCGGTGTAGTCCAAGACCCCCGAGCCGTCCAGGTCCAACCTGCAAAGAAGCGCAGCGGGGGGAGCGGCGCAGGCCGGCGGGTGGGGTCCTGGGGTGGGAAAAACTCGGCCGAAACAAAACAAAAACTGCCGGGAATCGCAGGCAGGAGCGCACCAAGGGGTGGGGGGGGGAAACAGCCTGGGAAAAAGCCGGACAAGAAGGAAGAAGAAAGAACCTGATCTCTGTCCAAAGGCACAGGGAGGTGAGCCGGTGAAGGCAGTGGGGAAAAACCCGCACTGAAAAACCCACCCCTCTCCGACCAAGTAACATGGCGCCTGCCATTTGGGGGGTCCTGGAAGACCAGGACCCTTTTTCAGGGACCCCCTGCTTCAGGTGCCATGTTAATTCGTGGAAGGGTAGGCCAGGGCCGTCGTCCATAGATCTCGGTCCAAAAGAACAGAAAGGTGAGCCGGTGAACATCAAGTTGAGAGGATAATGGTGACCCCATCGTAAACCCCAGTTTATGACCCAAAAACCACCTTCCAACAGGGAGGCTTGCCGGTTTCGGACCACAAAGACCGGACCCAGGAGGAGACATGAGGATACGGGGGGGGGTTGGATCAAGATTCTGAAAACCCATGGTCATTTTGGGGCCCTCGTCTTGAGACAAACCCTTAACGAGGGGTTAGGATATATGGCGATCAACGCCCCACGTCACCACACTTCTGCCACATTTCCATCACACTGCCACACTGCCTTGCTACCGCCATGCAACCAAAACACTTCTGAGTGAAATCTTGGCATGGGTTGATCAATATTCCATTTACGGCCCCAAAATGACCATTGGGAACTGTTATATTCACAGTTACCTTTCATTGGTGGTTTGGGGCCCGGTGGTTTGGTGGTTTGGGGGCGATTTCCCAGTTTACGACCCAAAAACCACTTTCCAAAAGGGAGGCGTGTCTTTTCCTGACCAAAAAAAACACCTTCCAACAGGCGGCTATTTTTTTTCCTCACCAAAAAAAAATACAAAACACCTCTTGGACCGTTTTGTTTTCTCAATTTTCAACACGGGTCCGGGAACAAAAAAGGACAAAAAAAAGGAAAGAAAGAAGAAGAAAAAGCACCCCGAAATACAAAACACCTCTTGGACCGTTTAAAAAACAAAACAAAAAGGAAAGAAAGAAGAAAAAATGCACCCCCAAATACAAAACACCTCTTGGACCGGTTAAAAAGCAAAAAAAGGAAAGAAAGAAGAAAAAAACAACCCCCAAATACAAACACCTCTTGGACCGTTTAAAAAACCAAAAAAAGGAAACAAAAAAAAAAGCACCCCCAAATACAAAACACCTCTTGGACCGTTGAAAAAACAAAACAAAAGGAAAGAAAGAAGAAAAAAAGCACCCCCAAATACCAAACACCTCCTGGACCGTTTAAAAAACAAAACAAAAATGGAAAGAAAGAAGAAAAAAAGCACCCCCAAATACCAAACACCTCCTGGACCGTTAAAAAAAAAAAAGACAAAAAAGAAAAAAAGCACCCCCAAATACAAAACACCTCTTGGACCGGTTAAAAAAAGGAAAGAAAGAAGAAAAAAGCACCCCCAAATACCAAACACCTCCTGGACCGTTTAAAAAAAAAAGAAGACAAAAAGGACCCCCAAATACCAAACACCTCTTGGACCGTGTAAAAAACAAAGCACCCCCAAATACCAAACACCTCCTGGACCGTTTAAAAAACAAAAAAAAAGAAAAGAAAGAAGAAAAAAAGCACCCCCAAATACAAAACACCTCTTGGACCGTTTAAAAAACAAAAAAAAGAGCAAGAAAGAAGAAAAAAAGCACCCCCAAATACAAAACACCTCTTGGACCGTTTAAAAAACAAAAAACAAAAAGGAAAGAAAGAAGAAAAAATGCACCCCCAAATACCAAACACCTCTTGGACCGGTTAAAAAGCAAAACAAAAAGGAAAGAAAGAAGAAAAAAAAACACCCCCAAATACCAAACACCTCCTGGACCGTCTAAAAAAAAAAGAGGAAAGAAAGAAGAAAAAAGCACCCCCAAATACCAAACACCTCCTGGACCGTTTAAAAAAAAAATAAGAAGACAAAAAGGACCCCCAAATACCAAACACCTCTTGGACCGTTTTTTTGTTTTTAAAGCACCCCCAAATACAAAACACCTCTTGGACCGGTTAAAAAACAAAAAAAAAGGAAAGAAAGAAGAAAAAAAGCACCCCCAAATACCAAACACCTCCTGGACCGTTAAAAAAAAAAGAAGACAACAAGGACCCCCAAATACCAAACACCTCTTGGACCGTTTAAAAAAAAAGCACCCCCAAATACAAAACACCTCTTGGACCGGTTAAAAAACAAAAAAAAGGAAAGAAAGAAGAAAAAAAGCACCCCCAAATACCAAACACCTCCTGGACCGTTTAAAAAAAAAAGAAGACAAAAAGGACCCCCAAATACCAGACACCTCTTGGACCGTTTTAAAAAAAAAGCACCCCCAAATACAAAACACCTCTTGGACCGGTTAAAAAACCAAAAAAAAAAAAAAGAAGAAAAAAAGAACCCCCAAATACCAAACACCTCCTGGACCGTTAAAAAAAAAACAAGACAAAAAGGACCCCCAAATACCAAACACCTCTTGGACCGTTTTAAAAAAAAAGCACCCCCAAATACAAAACACCTCTTGGACCGTTTAAAAAACAAAAAAGGAAAGAAAGAAGAAAAAAAGCACCCCCAAATACCAAACACCTCCTGGACCGTTAAAAAAAAAAGAAGACAAAAAGGACCCCCAAATACCAAACACCTCTTGGACCGTTTGAAAAAAAAAGCACCCCCAAATACAAAACACCTCTTGGACCGGTTAAAAAACAAAAAAAAAGGAAAGAAAGAAGAAAAAAAGCACCCCCAAATACCAAACACCTCCTGGACCGTTAAAAAAAAAAAAGAAGACAAAAAGGACCCCCAAATACCAAACACCTCTTGGACCGTGTAAAAAAAAAGCACCCCCAAATACCAAACACCTCCTGGACCGTTTAAAAAACAAAAAAAAAGAAAAGAAAGAAGAAGAAAAAGCACCCCCAAATACCAAACACCTCCTGGACCGTTTAAAAAACAAAAAAAAAGGAAAGAAAGAAGAAAAAAAGCACCCCCAAATACCAAACACCTCCTGGACCGTTTAAAAAACAAAAACAAAAAAGGAAAGAAAGAAGAAAAAAAGCACCCCCAAATACCGAACACCTCCTGGACCGTTTAAAAAACAAAAAAAAAGGAAAGAAAGAAGAAAAAAAGCACCCCCAAATACCAAACACCTCCTGGACCGTTTAAAAAACAAAACAAAAATGGAAAGAAAGAAGAAAAAAAGCACCCCCAAATACCAAACACCTCCTGGACCGTTAAAAAAAAAGGAAATAAAGAAGAAAAAAAGCACCCCCAAATACAAAACACCTCTTGGACCGTTTAAAAAAAAAGGAAAGAAAGAAGAAAAAAGCACCCCGAAATACCAAACACCTCCTGGACCGTTAAACAAAAAAAAAAGGAAAGAAAAGCACCCCCGGCCCCCATCCCACCAAAAGGAAAGGGCAACATCTCGTGTCTGGGTCACCTCTTTGCCCCAGCCAGATCTGTTTCCATCTGGTGGCCAAGGGGCCCACGCACTCCAGATGCACTCGCTCGCTTCGGCGGTAACTCAAGCTCTGGTTCTAGGAACATGGCTCTAACCAAAAAAACAAAAAAGACACAAAATAAGGTTCCACGCATTAAGGAAACAAAAAATCAAGTTCTGGTTCTCACCTGCACAAAGGAGACAAAAACAACAACAACAAAAAAAACGCTGGGCACAACCTACATAAACACCTTAGGCGATCCTACATAACTTCGAACACTTCCTTACACCAACCTGCGTAAAAATCAGGCAGGGACCGAAGCACCTACTGAAAGCGGCTTTTCGAGTCGCCTTTGGGTCTCCTCTTCAAGGGAGCCTCTGTCAAGTGCCTTGTTCCTGGCCCTGGGAAGGAGGGTCGCCATCGAGATGTTCGTGCCATGCTCCCCTTTGGGTTCCTCGATATTGCAAAGACCAGCCACGGCACATCCCGGACTTTTGCTCGTCACACAGCAGCCTTTACGGAATCGAAGGTGGCTTGGATGGAATCCTTGGGCAAAGCGTCGCTCTCGTGGCCATGGACTTGGCGATATATGTGCGCTTTCGCTTTGTTGCTTGAAGGTTTTCGGAGTGTCAAGTGAAACCACCCATTTGGTGGTTCCGATGTGAGCATGGGAACCCGTGGACATCCACCAACCACAAATGAGGTGGTTCCATGTTGAAGCTTATGGTTGTGTTGAGACACACCCGTATTCAAAACCGGAACATCCGGGCAGCTTCATGTCGAATTTCTTGTTCAGCAGTCCCCCTTCTTGCGGTCCAACTGATTTGGATGTGGTTACAGAAAACGCATGGTCACAAACAACACGGAAAAAAAAGAGCGGCCGGGAAAAACATGGATACAGAAAACAGCCTAAGCCTTAAAAGGAAACACGGTAGAACATGACCGAAAAACGTCCTTGAGCAGCAAACAGAGACAACCATGGTCATATTGTGGATGGTTCCGAAATCCATAAATCATTCCAGCGTCTCTCTTTTCGTGGTACCTGAGAGGATTCTCAAATGTTTCGCTACCATCCCTTGGTTGACGTTGGAAGGGGAGCGAAAATTTATTTGTTAGCAGTAAAGTGGGGATTTACCGCTAAACCACCCATGATACGCAGTGGACAAAAAAACACCCGATCATCCCCCAGCCTCGCAAAGACCTTCTCTACATCCTTGACTTGGTCGCTGTCCCTGCCTCAGCTCTCAACATGTTTAGCTTTCACAAGGGGCCGAAAAGAATTTCAATCATTGACCAACTCATCACAGCTCCTGAAAGGAGCCATAGAAGTTTAGTGAAAGATCGATGTGGACATAAATACCACCGAAATTTGATGTCCAAAATTCGGGCCTGCAAGAGAGATAGAAGAGGAAAGAGCGATCCATCTCTCCATCTCACACACATATCCACTCACCCCCATCTCTAGGCTGCAAATCATAACAGGGCAGGGCTGTGGGAAATGACCACTTCTGTGATACAACAAAAAGGGCCTCCCAAAGACCAACTCCCCATGTAAAGAGGGGATTCCCTTGTATCACAGAAGTGGGGATAAACCCCTTGATCCCACAACCCTGTAACAGGGGCTTTACTCATGTCTAAATCTCTGGTGCCAACTCATTTTAGAGGAAGCTATTTTTCCCACTGGGACAAACCCGGAAAGGCATATCGGAAACGAGAAATCTCACCGGCGTGAGGCAAGATGAAACCGCTTCATCCACGCAAGGTATACACTTGAACCCCAGCCCAGTTGCAGCGACGTCCTTCATTCTTGGCGAGTACCCTTTTTGGCTATGTTGTTCAGCTTTTTGCCCCCAAGCCGCTTTGAAGAAACCGACGCTTCGGGCCGCTCGGTCGCCGGCCGAAGAACTTGATAAAGCCGGCCCGCACCTCAAGCCAAAGGAGAAAGTTGCTGGGAAACTGCCCCCAAAGTTCGGGGTACGTGTCAAAAAACGGGGGGGAGGGGGGCAAGAAAATGGGGCAAAAAACAAAAACCGCATTTTCGGTTCTCCAGGTGGTTTCCCTGAAACAAAAAACAATATGGCAGGGGTACCAAGCCTGACAAGCACAATACGCACAGAACACGGAATCAAACAAACCCCCACCGTGCAGGAATCTTCTCTTGGGGCAAGGACCCCCCCCCTTTTCGGGGTCCATCAGTCAGTTTGTAGGGGTGTAATATTTGACCCAGGACACTGTCTGTTTTTTTGAGTTGGGGGGTGCAAGCTTCTCAAAAGTGATTCGGACCCCAACATCAAGTGGAACACCCCGCCCCCGCAACAAAACGAAAAAGAAAGGATCTAGCAGATTGTGACCAGTGCAGATTGATCGATTTCATTGGCAGGTTGCATGCTGCAAAGGCCTGAACGACTAGAATCCAAATTGTGTCGTGATTGTGGGAGTAAACTGAGTATGATGTTCGTACTTCTTTAGCCCGTTATGTAGATATGCATACACATACAAATATATTACATAATAGTGGACCCCTAAATAGATGACTTCCTTGTTTCGAAAATTAAAGGAACCTCAGAAATCATTCGAGTGTTCTTCAACCCCTCCCCTCTGTTTCCAAACATTTTCGTCCTGGGGGTCTTGTTATTTGGCTGTGGGTCAAAAATAGGGTACCCAAAATGGCTTGCCCTGGTAAATGGAACCAAGGACTAAACCCTGCAGTCCATGTCCTCGTGGTTGAATTTTGACCAATTTAGGAAACAACAGATCACAAATGCAAAAATCCATCTCCAAATCACCTATTACAGTTAAATTGGGCGCTGCGTTTCTCTCCACCTCTTGCCCCATCCCCAAGAGTGGACAGCTCGCTCGCCAGAGAAATCGAGAAAGCCCCCTCCTCGTGAAGCTCTAGCACTCCATCGCCGTTCGTGTCCATCTCGGCAAACACCTGGCGCGCGCGTTTAACACGACGCTGCAACCTGCCCAAGATGGCTTGCCCTGGGAGATGGAAGGACTAGAACCTGCGGTCCCCCTTTTGGAGTTGGTCCCCTTTTGGGGGGTTGGTTTGAAGGGAAACCAAAGGGAAAAGTCCGCCATTTGGTGGCATGTTGATTGGGTCGTTGTTCCCGTAGAGATGACCGCAACTTGGAAACCATGTTTGAAACCATGGTACTTGAAGGGGGAATCGAATCATCCCCAGGGTTTCTGAACGGTGGTGCCTCAGAGGAGCTCATCCATCCACAGTAGGGATGCTTCAAAACCAATTTCAGGCATGACCATAGAACGCAGGGATTTACAGAGGCTTCCGTATTTAGGAATTGTGATGCCATGTACGGGGGTTCTACAAACCCTTAGAAAAATTGCGGAGTGTTGTACCCTAACAAGGTGGCGAAATACAGGTACAAACTTAGTAAATCTCCTGAGACTAGAGATTTGGAGCTGAGAACACTCTTGAGACAATATGCAATCTGAAAGATGCGGGTGCCAACTCAATATTGCAAGTAGAACAATCACAAAAAAAAAACTTTTTACCGCGACCTCCCCTGGATTTGTTGGGTTTCCCGCCGGTTTTGTTTGCTTTACTGGGCACGGAACCTCGGGGCATGCATTTGCATGACCACGGCCTGTGCGGAGCCCAACGGCTTGGAAAGTTTTGGCTTAAGTCGACATGAGTCACTTGGCTCCAAACCGATCGGTACCAAAAATGGCTCGAACCCAGAACCATGGCTTCAAAAGTTGCAAAAAAGTTGTAACTCCAAGACCGATTACAAAATCGGTACAAGAATTGCGAATCAAGGATTCGAAAGGCGGATCTCCGCAACTATTTCTTTTCGGCTGGGACTCCGGACTGCCCCTTAACCTTCATCTACCCGAATCGGCTTTGAGCAAGTGGCTCACATGAAAAAACGAATCCCAAGCAAACCGCCAAAGGGGAAGCTGAAAAACGGTTCATTCCCAGGCGAGTCCGTGGAACCAGGGCTCCCCCTTAAGACTCGGTTCAATTTGCAGAGGCTGAGTCGAGCTTCCATGTTAGCCGGGGGTGTAAAGACTTGAAAGGGCGGACTGCACCCATAAGGGGACTATCCCTAACCTTAACCACTTCCGCTCACATCCCAAGCAATCGGATCGAAGGCTTGGCAATACTGTGGACGGAATCCATTTCGCACCACTTTGAAGCCATCGGAAACCATAGTTTCTTGGTATTTACAGGGGAATCATCACAAACCAGGATTTCTGAACGGTGGTGCCTAAGAGGATTTCGCAACCATCCACAGTAGGCTTGCGCCTTTCTGGCATTCGCAAAACAGCTCCCACAGACCTTTCTCTGCATACGGTTGCAGGTCTTCCACCAATCTCCGCCAAAATCCCGACGAAAATCCCGACTAAAATGGGTGGTGCACCTACCCCAAAATGGTACCATGGTTGTGACACACAGCCATATGGACGAAATCCTCGTAGGCACCACTCGTGGATTTCGGCCATCCACACTCGTGGACAGAGTTGTGCAAGAACTGTTTAAACAACCCAGCCCTGGTCCCCTTCAAAGGGGAGCCCTTTTAGGAGGTTCTTTGATCTGGCTCATGATTTTGCCATCACACTCACCCCCCACGGCTCCATAGGCCTTCAGAAACAACCAACCACTTTCTGACTTTGATTTGTCCCTGAGAAACAGAACCGAGGCAACCAATGGAAACCGCCAGCCGACCAAATGGATCCGTAGAACACGTAGAACACGTAGAACACGTAGAACACGAAACGGTGTCCAAAGGAGCAGTGCGCAAAACATCATGCACTTTTAGTTCATCCAAGGTGGTTATACAAAAAATTATGAGCCTTGCTATGACCCTTGTTAAACCACAGAGTAGAATGACGCACCAAACTACTCCACGACAAAACAACCTGCATTTGTTCTTCCAAAACCTGCAGTACCACTTGGATCCCCCTGTAAACCATCATGGTGAACTGGCTCCACCATCCACCGAACCACTCCCCACAACCATTTTGTTTCCCCTTCCCCCACACGAACTCGGACAAGCAAATCGCCTTGTGGACATCGCGGAGGCTGCGGTGGTCCAACTGCCTGGCGACCTCCGTTGAGCGGCCCTTCCACCGAAAAGCCGCAAGCAAGGCACAAAGTCATCAAAGCCCGTTTTTCGTTTTTGCTCGGGACCCAGAACCATGTGGCTGTGGGTCAAAAATAGGGTACCCAAAATGGCTTGTCCTGGTAAATGGAAACATGGACCAAAATCTGCGGTCCCCTGGTGGTTTAATTTTGACCCAGAACCATGTGAAGAACTGGAAAAGGCGGAGATCCGCACCCCATCTGAAAAGATTGTCCCTTACTCACCTTCCGGGGATGTGACTGTGGCCCACGAGGGTCCTCGCTCCCTTGCAACGTGGCAGCAGCCACATATGTAACCCCTCTTGGGGGTTGCTGGAACAGCGCGCCTCTCGCTTGCGAGGGCTCGGGTTGCAGCTCAAGGGAAGCCAGAAGCCAAGTCAACCGAGCCCGGGAGAAGCAAAGAACGGCGGAAACCAGGGCGATCGCCTTTCGGGACGACTGAAATGAGCCGAAACCAGACTAGTTGGGCGTGAATCCCGTCGGCCGTCCCTGTCGGACCGCGGGGCCATGACCCCCTCGGCGGTCGCCCCTTCCTTCTAATTTGCTTGTTGTCTGTAGCTGCCGCCATGATCCGCCATGTTTTTGCAGCTAGCTGTTGTTTAGGGCCTGTCACTGGCCCGGGCTGATGTTTTTCGTGAAGCGTGATGCTTTCATTTTGGATTGGATCCCCAACTTGAGACATACGCCAGGGCACGTTGAGAGGCATAAAGAAGCCGAGACAAAGACAAGGAGCACACCAACTCCTCCAAACCGCCCCCTTTCTTCCGTGTGATGGCCACCTGTCAGGTGGTTTACATTGGTTGGTGATTAGAGCCCAACCTACAAACCCACAAGCACCGTCTCTCAAGCTACCTAAGAACCCAACTGAGGTTGCAACCTGCCCCTCTCTCCCTCTCTCACACTCACTCACTCACTCACTCACTCACTCACTCACTCACTCACTCACTCACTCACTCACTCACTCACTCACTCACTCACTCACTCACTCACTCTCTCTCTCTCTCTTTCTCTCTCTCCCTCGGTTGCAGAGCGACTTCGCGCGACGCTAAGTTGGCATGCAAGACGAAAACAATGGCACTTCATCCAAGGAAACCGCCAGATCACTAGGCTTAGCGACCTCCTCCAACACCAGACGCCAAAAGCCATGCCATCCTCTAGCTCTGCCTCTCCCGCCCCCCAGCCCCCCATGTTGGGGCACCCGACCGAGGCCACGCACATGGTGAAAAACTGAGAAGTTCGGCTGAACCTAATCACTCGAAAGAGGAAGGAGATCGAAAAATTGGGAGAACTCGTTGATAGGTGGGCCTGTCCCCTAAAAAAAGGGACCCAACAAAATGGTGGTTTCCCTGTTTGGTTCCCCTTTAAACAAATTGAGGGGCCCCTGATTGATGTCTGGTGGTTTCCAATGGGTGGGTCTCCATCGGGAAAAAGAACCAGAAAGTGTCTGCATCTTGCCTTCGGATCTTCTTACAATTCCAAAGTGACGAGGGCACAAAGAAAAGTGTCGCAATCCGCTGGCCGGATGGCATCCCACGAATACATTGCGTGGGTCTTCTTGCTGCAGCTTGGTACCCCCTTGTCTCTTCTTCTTAAGGCAAAATGAAGAAAAACACTTCGGGGCCCCTTTCGCCCCTGTGTCTTTTTCTACGCCCCTCCCAGGCAAGCCGGCGCGGCGTGGCTCAAAGCGCTCGCTTCCAGCCATGAAATCTGCCCCCTGGCCTCAAGGCCTCGAGGCTTGCCGAAAATGTTTGCTCGTCTGGCGCACGCAGGCTGCCGACCCTCTCTTGCCAGACCTCCTTCCGGGCTCCCTGAAAGGCGGCACGAAGCTTCGCGCAAGCTGCTCTCAAAACGTGCAACGCTCTGCCTTTGGCAGGCGCGGGGAGTTGCAACCAACCGGGCAAAAACACAGGTCATCCTGGAAAGGGTTCTGACTTCCCTGCTGCAAACGATGGCAATCACAACCCAAAAAAAAACATGACAAACACTCACTTCACAACCAGGCCACAAATGCTGTCACATGCTTTCCTTGCATTGCATCACTGCTTCTGTTCTTGTGTTCTGTAATCTCGTGACATCGCCGCATGGCAGGGTAGGATGTTGATCATATCAGGCCCGCATCTGGCTTCCCAGCTTCCCAGCTTCCCCTGGCTGGAGAGCGAAGCCAAAAAAATCGAATTCCTGGAATTAATTGCAATGTGCGCCACTACACTAAGGCTTGTCATCAATGACGCCCGCAGCCATAACTGTGGCCAAAGTGGGCGGTGTTGGAGCCGCGTGCGCCCATTTTGGCTCTTCAGCGGCTTGCACCTTCATTCGCAAGTGCTTGCGCAGGTTGAATAAGCCTGAGAACAAGTTTGAGAAAAAGAAGAAGGAGTTAAGAATGAGCGCCGGCAGAATCAGCCAGTTGATCGCTGCCTCGGCGGCTGCGGCCATCTCCGCCTGCCTAGCTTGCTCCTCCGTGGTGAAGACCATGGGCGGCTCAATGGTCTTGGCAAGAAAAGTGGTGGAATCAACACCCGGAGCTGACACGACATTGCACAGCGTGGTGTTGGGCAGCCCTGTTGAAGCTGCACATGGCACCTGATTCAGAACCTGGATGCCCAGGGCCGTCGCGTCCAGCTGTGCATGCACCTCCGCCTCTTGGCCGCAAAGCTGCCCGGTGTAGGCACAAATGGCAGGCTCAAACTGGGCCGGAACCACAGGGGACCCTGAGGCATCAAGGACTTCTGCCAAGCAGCTCCCGGCATAGCTCCCGCAGAACAGCTCAATCGTTGAGTCGATGCATGAAGACAAGCCCAGGACGCTGGAGCACGTCTTCACCACTTGCACACTGCGCGAGAAGCCTACAGAATACCCCTGCTGGATGGATGACGGGCTCATGCCGGCCAGAACCTCGTCCACGGTCTGTGCCACTTCAGTCACTGTCACCATGTTGGCCTGGCCTGTGCTCGGAAGCACTAGATCCTGGCTCAGTCGGATCTTCCCAGTGATCCCGTACGGCTTGCCAAGTCCGCCTGCGGCGAGATCTGTGAGGTTTGGGGCCAGGAGAGTCGTCTCGAAGCCGGACGCCACTATGGTGATGTCTGCCTGCCCAGGGTTGCTGCATGAGGTGCCGGAGCTCACGTTGAGATAGAGGCCGTTCGGCAGCGCCCCTGGCTGCATGCCCATTGCCTCAGCCAGAGGCGAAGGCATGCTGATGGCTGACAGCCTGGTGGCGGGAAGTGGCGCATTCTCGCACTGCATGGGTACAGCCACCGGCGTCCATCTCGCCTTCTCCATACTGGCCCAAATCACCACAAACAGGTTGAGCGGGGCACTGCACAACCCCGTGATGGCTTGGCACTTCGCGGTGCAGCATCCACACTTTCCCATCTTGGAAATCTCGGAGAGATCCGGAAAAGGCCCCAACCCTTAACTTGAGAGTCAAACAACTGCGATATGCTCATGCTCCAGTGTCCAAGTGCATTTCAAGAGACCCTGCCAATGTGATTGCAAAGCACAGGGACCGGAATCTGCGTACGCGCTCTCAAATCTGCCATGTGCCACGCAGTATCACTCTCTTGTTTGACGGATGAAGGGAGAAGCGCTCATGAGGCTTTGAGAGTCACAGACGCCTTTCCAGGACTTCTCACGCGGCCATTCTTGCAAAGGATACACAAAATCGTGTAACTGCTGGCATTCAAGCAGAAACTGACTCAGAAGCCGCACGAAATTCCGTGCAAGCTGCGCAAAACTTGCAACGCTCTGCCTTTGGCAGGCGCCAAGGGGAGTTGCAACAAATCGGGCAAAAAGAACGTCATCCTGCAAAGGGTTGTGACTTCCCTGCTGCAAACGATGGCAAGCACAAAAAAACTGGTTCACAACTGGGCCACAAATGCTGTCATGCTTGCCGTGCATTGCATCACTGCTTCTGTTCTTGTGTTGTGTGATCTCGTGACATCGCCGCATGGCAGGGTAGGATGTTGATCATAACAGGCCCGCATCTGGCTTCCCAGCTTCCCGGCTTCCCCTGGCTGGAGAGCTAAGCCAAAAAGGACAAAATCCCGGTATTAATTAAAATGTGCGCCACTCGCACTAGGGCTTGTCATCAATGACGCCCGCAGCCATAACTGTGGCCAAAGTGGGCGGAGTCGGAGCCCCTTGCGCCTCTTTTGGCTCTTCGGCGGCTTGCGCCTTCATTCGCAAGTGCTTGCGCAGGTTGAAAAAGCCTGAGAACAAGTTTGAGAAAAAGAAGAAGGAGTTAAGAATGAGCGCCGGCAGAATCAGCCAGTTGATCGCTGCCTCGGCGGCTACGGCCATCTCCGCCTGCCTAGCTTGCTCCTCCGTGGTGAAGACCATGGGCGGCTCAATGGTCTTGGCAAGAAAGGTGGATGAATCAACACCCGGAGCTGACACGACATTGCACAGCGTGGTGTTGGGCAGCCCTGTTGAAGCTGCACATGGCACCTGATTCAGAACCTGGATGCCCAGGGCCGTCGCGTCCAGCTGTGCATGCACCTCCGCCTCTTGGCCGCAAAGCTGCCCGGTGTAGGCACAAATGGCAGGCTCAAACTGGGCCGGAACCACAGCGGACCCTGAGGCATCAAGGACTTCTGCCAAGCAGCTCCCGGCATAGCTCCCGCAGAACAGCTCAATCGTTGAGTCGATGCATGAAGACAAGCCCAGGACGCTGGAGCACGTCTTCACCACTTGCACACTGCGCGAGAAGCCTACAGAATACCCCTGCTGGATGGATGACGGGCTCATGCCGGCCAGAACCTCGTCCACGGTCTGTGCCACTTCAGTCACTGTCACCATGTTGGCCTGGCCTGTGCTCGGAAGCACTAGATCCTGGCTCAGTCGGATCTTCCCAGTGATCCCGTACGGCTTGCCAAGTCCGCCTGCGGCGAGATCTGTGAGGTTTGGGGCCAGGAGCGTCGTCTCGAAGCCGGACGCCACTATGGTGATGTCTGCCTGCCCAGGGTTGCTGCATGAGGTGCTGGAGCTCACGTTGAGATAGAGGCCGTTCGGCAGCGCCCCTGGCTGCATGCCCATTGCCTCAGCCAGAGGCGAAGGCATGCTGATGGCTGACAGCCTGGTGGCGGGAAGTGGCGCATTCTCGCACTGCATGGGTACAGCCACCGGCGTCCATCTCGCCTTCTCCATACTGGCCCAAATCACCACAAACAGGTTGAGCGGGGCACTGCACAGCCCCGTGATGGCTTGGCACTTCGCGGTGCAGCATCCACACTTTCCCATCTTGGAAATCTCGGAGATCCGGAAAAGGCCCCAACCCTTAACTTGAGAGTCAAACAACTGCGATATGCTCATGCTCCAGTGTCCAAGTGCATTTCAAGAGACCCTGCCAATGTGATTGCAAAGCACAGGGACCGGAATCTGCGTACGCGCTCTCAAATCTGCCATGTGCCACGCAGTATCACTCTCTTGTTTGACGGATGAAGGGAGAAGCGCTCATGAGGCTTTGAGAGTCACAGACGCCTTTCCAGGACTTCTCACGCGGCCATTCTTGCAAAGGATACACAAAATCGTGTAACTGCTGGCATTCAAGCAGAAACTGACTCAGAAGCCGCACGAAATTCCGTGCAAGCTGCGCAAAACTTGCAACGCTCTGCCTTTGGCAGGCGCCAAGGGGAGTTGCAACAAATCGGGCAAAAAGAACGTCATCCTGCAAAGGGTTGTGACTTCCCTGCTGCAAACGATGGCAAGCACAAAAAAACTGGTTCACAACTGGGCCACAAATGCTGTCATGCTTGCCGTGCATTGCATCACTGCTTCTGTTCTTGTGTTGTGTGATCTCGTGACATCGCCGCATGGCAGGGTAGGATGTTGATCATAACAGGCCCGCATCTGGCTTCCCAGCTTCCCGGCTTCCCCTGGCTGGAGAGCTAAGCCAAAAAGAACAAAATCCCGGTATTAATTAAAATGCGCCACTCGCACTAGGGCTTGTCATCAATGACGCCCGCAGCCATAACTGTGGCCAAAGTGGGCGGAGTCGGAGCCCCTTGCGCCTCTTTTGGCTCTTCGGCGGCTTGCGCCTTCATTCGCAAGTGCTTGCGCAGGTTGAAAAAGCCTGAGAACAAGTTTGAGAAAAAGAAGAAGGAGTTAAGAATGAGCGCCGGCAGAATCAGCCAGTTGATCGCTGCCTCGGCGGCTGCGGCCATCTCCGCCTGCCTAGCTTGCTCCTCCGTGGTGAAGACCATGGGCGGCTCAATGGTCTTGGCAAGAAACGTGGTGGAATCAACACCC